CTAACCGCGAGATGATCTGACATATCCAACGTCACGACATTACAACTAATAACGTTGGTCACGTGATTAGTATACACGTGATCAATAAGCGTTGCACTGTGGTCAGTTACCCTGGTAGGCTTGGAGACAGTCTGGGCAAACCCATATTTTTCTAGTAAGCTTATAAGATCCTGGCTGTAAGCGTCGGTATCGTATTTTATAAGATCAATATTTGCATCACCCAGGAAGACTATCTGCTTTCTGGAGTGTCTATCAAGACCCCTGAGCACGTTTTCAAACTTTTCAAGGAATTTTTTAGGGCTTGTGGATGGCGAGCGGTAGAAATTTACGATGATTTTTGTCTTATTTCCGTTTTTAAAATTGTTGATTTTAAGCAATTGAAATTCTCCGCAAGTAACTTCTTCTGTACTCAGATTGAGTTCGAGTTCCTGTATTTTATCGTAATCACAAACGCGTTTGTTAACATAAAGCGCAAGACCACCTCCTTTTCCAGATTTACGTGCAGGTTCTTTGATAAAGGGCTCGTAAAACTGTTCAATTTCAATGTCGTTCAGACCATTAGGAAGATTAGAAATTTTACAGTTGGTTTCATTGAGGCAGATGAGGTCAAATTTGGAGAATGTTTCTATTTCTTCTAAGCCTCCGTTTTGAAAGTTTTAAAAAAAATTTTAATACATTCACATTTCTATTTAAAATTCAATTTTATGTACAAGTCAATAACTGGCCGCCAAAGCCGCGCATTCTTGAAAACAGGATTAACTTGATTATAGTTGTACGACTATGTAAATTTAAAACTATCCGTGGTTTTTTCTTTAAAATAAATAAATTATAATTTTATAAGTCCAAAGCCAGCTTTGAAAAATTTACTATTAAATCATACAATATCGTCAACTTTAAATATTTACAATGCAACAATTCATTAATCTGTAAACACGCGTACTCCAGCCCCTAAACGCATAAATTGTTATGCGGCGCGGCTCAAGCCGCGCACGCACGTATTATTTTATACTGTTTGCTTTCTAATAAATATCGTGCCAATGTGTACGTCTAAATTTTGTAGCGCGATGCGTTACTGTGCCGCGCCGCGCACTTAATAAGGCTTCTCACAGCGACCTGGCTAGATCGGCGAGATGCGCTACTGTGCCGCGCCGAGCTGCCATGAATTGACATCGTCAATTAAGTCTAAATTGTAAACGTTCATGTTTTGTGTAAAGTGATTCCAATTGGGACTAGTGACAAGGATAAGGACCCAAGTGCCTGTACGGCTTTTTCGGACCCCTGTGGACCACTACTCTTGAAATCACTCCACACACTACAACATTGAACATTTATATCTACTACGTCATTTGGCAATTATTGTCATTATTCTAACTTTCTAATTAATTGCCGAGGGGGAAGAGTTAACGCTTCACATTAAAATTCAATACACAAAATTCAAAACCATCAATACGGTATTAAATATTATGGACAAATCTATAGATCTATTTCGTAGTCATATATTCACATGATTTGCTTTATATTATCTTAATACTGTAATGAAGTACAGTAGGATTTGTGTTTCGAGAAAGAAAGGTTGCGGTCAAATTATTAACAAAAGTAAACAAAAGTCCATCAGGGACTCCGTGGAGTCGACAAAGGTACATAGTGTATGTACTAAGAGCATCAACTTGCGGGTGAACATTTTATGTCTCAAAACCCAACATATTATACATCATTGGAAAGGTCTCATTGAGTAGAGTCCTTTGGTACCAAGTTTTGGGCAAATGGCTGTTCCTAGCGAAAGTTATAGCCCGTCAAAGTTCCAAAAATGACCATTTAAAAAATGGGGCGGGGCATCGTGTTCTTAAAGTTTTTGACGAATTTTTTTTACAGCATATTGTTTATTACATTTTTTTACACAAGATTTGCTGTATGCCGTAATTTTATTTTTTGATATTTTAATCAAAAATAATTTTTATTTGGATTTAAAAGTACGCGCTACGCCGCGCAGTTAGAAATCGCAATAAGGAGATTTAACCAAATTTTTTGTTGCGCAATTTTTTTTCTCATATCAAATTTACATGCTCATGTCGCATTTTCGGTTGCATCAAATTCAGCTGACGTCCACAACATGAAGTTTAAATGATCACACTGTGAAATTGGTTTGAAAGTATAATGCAAATATTCTTAGTTCTGGATAGTAATAGTATGTATACACTTAAAGGAAGAATCCAGGGTTTTCCCTATACTATCCAGTATTGTCGACTGTTCCACAAATTTGAAGATATGGTTGAATTTACTGTTGTTAATGTTTATTGCTCTAGTCTGATGTATGCAATGGAATCACGATGATTGGTATCTATCTAAAAACATATATAATGTGTAATGCAATTCATTATAGAATAAATGCAATTAGAAGTATCAATACCAGTTCTTATCTTACTAGAAACATGAACTGAAAGCTATAATACTAAGAAAAGCTAAGCACAGTTACAAAGTGTAACACTCTACTCACCACGGTAGAGTTCAGGGTGACTTTGCTAAAGGGGAAAGATTGGTTAGAACAGTTAAGATCCTCCGTAGTCCTTAGTGGTTTTCCAATTATCCTCATTCTGAGTGTCATGATATGGATGCCCTTGCAGAGGAGGTGCTGGGATGTTTCTGCTTCTCCTGAAAGTGTCCACAATCTTGTGTCTCGAAGTTGACGTTGTTAAACTAGTGGGCTGTGATCTATCCTGACAGTGGCCATGTCAGCCATCTGATGTGAGTTCCAGAAAAATTAAAATACCTGTATTTATGTTTGTGAAGGAACATCTCAAGTGTGATTTTCCTTTGTCACTGAGTTTGGCCTAATTGGGAGAAAGGGTTCTGGTCCTATGGGGATGTTGTTGGATTGATCATCCCTTGCTAATTCATCCGCTAGTTCTTTACCGTTACTCCTTCATGCCCTGGAACATCCAAGTTCTACTCGATGTGAATATCAGTTATTTAGAATATATATTCGCATTTATCCACACTATATTTACATTACACGTACAACGTGATATCGTTATCAGTGCAGTGTGTACAACACCAACTACACCGATCAATTGCCAATCTGCGAAACATTTTATTATTATTATCACTTCGAGATGGCCTGGCCTACTCTCATGCTGTCTATATGTGATGATTAACTCTGAAAAACTAGGGACAACTGGGGAATGATCCCAGAACCTCGAGATTTCGCGTCTCTTGCTCTACCAATTGAGCTACTGACCCTGATTCTCAGAGCGAAATCACCACTCATATACAGCACAATTTCATGCTGTACACACTGCACTGATAACGATATCACGTTGTACGTGTAATGTAAATATAGTGTGGATAAATGCGAATATCGATGTGAATACCTATTGAATTGAGTTGGTCTGAGATGTTCAGAACGAACCCAGGCACGTAGACAGGGGGGGGGGGGCTAGTGTCCCCTAGACCGTAGGAAATGTCAAAATCTATTTTGCAAAATTTTTCGGGGCCTGCGCCACCCTAGCCCCCGCCAAGTGGCTCCGCCCCTGGGCCACGCTGGGCCCTGTGCCCCCAGACCTCCGCCACAGCTTGCTCGCTTTGCTCGCTGCGCAGCTTGAATGGACGCGTTGGCTCGCCGACAGACCCCCCCCCCCCCCTGAAGAAAAATCCTGGCTACGTCCCTGAACGAACCTGGAGTTAAAACTGGTGCTGTTAGGCGCTTTAAATGCAGCCTGGGGATCTGAGAGGAATTAATGATTGATGGGGATCCTAAGTTATCATTAGTCCAGATACTTGCCATGTGTAATGCAAATAGTGGGTATTATTTTATCAATGAAAGTAAAGGAGGATTGTCTGTCCTGTATTGTTACCATCTAACGTTGGGCTAACAAATTGAATCCAAAGTTTGAGTAATGCATTCGTTAAAATTTTGATGTCCTAATATTTGCATCCCTGAGGCATTGCATTGTTGTTTGTTCCTGGTCCGATTATGCTTTAGTGAGCTATGCTGTCCACCAGGGTACTGTAGATCCAAGGGTTCCCCGTGTAATGTGACAGGCTATGATAGAGCATCTCTGGAGGATGTCCAAGATGAACTGTTTTCGAACATTAAGAACTTCTGCTGTATAAACTGATTAGAACCAGTAATGGTGTCAGTCGAACTCTGCTGCTATTAGATGATTGTAGAGCGTTTTGTCACACTTCAATGAAGAGTGTGGCAAAGCTAACCCGGTCCCCTAATCCTAGGTTAAATGTGATGGCCTCAAGAATCAAGATGAGCCCTTAGCTGTCTAGCTGAGATGGGCATTGGGCAAGCAGGACGAGTCCAATATTATTTATTTATGACTGTTTCAAATTGGTTCGTGTCACAATCTCTTGTGTGGGGGCCAAGGATTGTGGAAATAATATTGTTTTGTAATTAATTGACGTTGATTGGTTATACCATTTTTATTGTATAATATATTTTCCTGACCAAATAAACTTTTTTACGCACGTTTTGACAATGGACAAGCAAGACGAGTCCAATATGACGCTATAATTAAATTGAATCAACAATTTAAAATCCATGAGTACCTTGCATTTAAATTTGTTAAAGAGCTTTGACTTTCGAGAAAAATTAGAAATTTTGTAATCGTTTATTAGCAGAGATGACGTTTAAAAACGCTCAACGGCAGCCTTTTGTTATTAAATTCTTATAATTCAAGTTAACAGTTTGTCTTATTTTACAACGTGTTCGAGTGGCATGCAAGAGCTATTAAACATTTTAGATAGATGAATTATTGCGATTAAGAATCGTTTCTTTTAAAAACCGAAGCATCTCTGCTTAAGAGAAATAAATTATGGCTCGATGTTTGTCACAATACATTTCTGTTTTATTTTCTCTATCATTGAACTACTAAATGTCACCCCAAAAGTATTTAAAGGATAATTTTTACATACACAAAAATCATACTAAATATTTTTTTTGCTTATCTGCATAGTGCGTTATAATATTATTAGCAGCTAAATGTGTTTGTCTCAGAATAGAAAAATGGCTACTACTCTAAAGAAAATGGAGCATTTGCTGACATGTAAGGTCAGTATTGTGCGAAGCATATTTTATACCAGATTATGTTGATTGATGCTGGTTGTTCTTTTAATAAAATATTACTGTCCTATTAGAAGGACCACAGGGGGTTTAATTAATGCAATAACAATTTAAAATGCATAACTTTCCTTCTCACCAAACGTGAAACGAAGGCAAATCTCATGTGAAATATTTTCAGGATTGTACTGATTCGGTGACCAGATGTCAGGGTAGGATTGAGTTGACAAAGCTCAAGATGAAAAGGTTATTCAATATCAGATAATAGTGATTTGTTACATTTACCAAGAAGCTAATTATTTTGGAAATATACTGTGTAATAATGGTTAGTAAGTTCTAAAAACAGTGAACTAAAGTGGACGCCATCCTTTGAAAAAATTTAAATTTGTTGCCTTCCTAATCTCGCTTTAAACGGTGCGCTAGAAGGTCATTTGATGCGCTAGAAGGTCATTTGATCTGGACGGCACAAACCACTGTTTTGGTCTATGCCCCCTTAAGGGGGGGCATACACCAAAACAGTGGTGTTAGGCCCAACAAATTGGGCCTAATTTGGACCAAATATGGGTGTGGCTGCCCCGCGGGTACCGTTTGGGGGTTGGGGTCGGGACCCCCTCAAAAGTTCGGTCACTGGTCCTGGTTTGTTGCTATCTCGTGATCAAGTTTCACAAAAAATATCCATTGCCCCCCCCCCCCCCCCCCCCCCCCTTTAACTCTGTATGATAACAAGCATTTCGTTCCTGGAAAGAATTGGCTTAAATCTCATAAACTAACGATGAATATTTCAATTCAATTAGGGTACGAAGATTAAGAAGCACAAGGTCAACTCCAATACTTGTAAGAACTGGAGAAGAAAGTACCACACCGTACTCGAAACCCAAACGAGATATTATTGATCTTATTGACGAGGAGGAAACGATAAAAGAACTGCAAGAGCTTTTAGATAGCTCTCCAACAAAAAGTGCAGCCAGCACAGACAGTTTAGAATATGCTGAAATTATTCATAAGAATTTTTTTGCCTCATCGCCCTTAACGATAACCATTAACCATACATATTAATATCTCCAAAATCATTATCTAGGACGTTTTATTCGCATTTGGATGTAACTTTTCCACACTCAATAAATCTGTCGGAAGTCCGAATTTATCTTATTGCAATCTCTTGCACTATATATCAGTTATCTGTGCACTTATCGGCACAGGGCCGTTATATTATATGTATTAAGCGGTCTCGCTATATTCTGTACTTGCCGAACTTTTGTTTATTTAAGGCACAGTCATCTTATAAGAGTGAGTTTCCGGGAGCACACGACAGTATATAAAACAGCAGACGACATGGCGCCAATTTGGGAAGTACCAACTCCATTTTAACGGATCATACATCTTGCATGATTATACAATATACATCTTATGTACAATGTACATTGTACGTTTAAAATGTACATTGTACATCTTAAACGTCGTTATTGGCTTTTTAGATTTGGTCCATTACATGACGGATAATAATTGTACGTCATGTTCCCAGTTATGATAATCCAAGATAACTGCACTGTACTGGTAAATATATAGGGAATAAATGTCCTTCTCCCTGAACATTTTAAAAGCTTGCCCAAACCGAGGTAATTTATGTAGTTGAAGCGGATACCGCTCGAACTACCGTTATTTAATGCACTGAACGGATTCAAAATCTTAAATACGTCCTTTGAGGTCGCATTTCACAGGACAAAAAATGCCTACCCATTTAAATATTATAAGTTACTAGAATATTAATAATTATCTAACTGAGAAGGAAATCTGCTGTATTTTTGTTATAAATTTATTCGAATCATAGTACACTTAATGAGTGATGGTTTTTCAAATGTTTTTATCTGATGATGTGATTAACTTGTTTATGAGAAAGAAATGTTACATAAATGCTAACCAGTTTTGAGTCGTACAAATAAGGAGGACTTAAAGACTGTACATTTCTTACCGTTGAATAAATGCTTAAATCTTTGGAATGATTTTAAAAGCAGCAGCAACCTTGCAACTATGCTATTCAGCAAGTCTTGTTGTGTGAAACAAATATTATATTGACTGCTAGTAAAATAGACATTTTAAATTTTAAATTTTAAACTGTATAAGGATCTCTCGATTCGATTTAGAGTCTGATTTTTTAGCTTGACTAAATGACTGTTAATCTATATTTTAATTGAAATAAATTTCGATCAAATGCTCCGTTTATTTTTGTTTTGAAAACACAAAAATAACAGAGAAATACCCTCTTCCATTAGACATGTAACTTAACCTTCAGTTTGACATCTGTACTGCTGTTACTCCTACAGCTGATGCTAGGGAGGCGCTTAGGTATTACACTGACTAACGTGCGAACATGTGCGTTGCTGGGTAAATCTGATATTGTAACGCGCGAACTAATAATTTGTAGACAAACTAGCGCGCCGGGAACCATGCGGAATACAGATTGTCTCTTTACGTAATTCAAACTCTGATGACAAAATAAATTGATTGTGACTGTAATAATGGATTAAAAATTACGGCATACAGCAAATCTTGTGTAAAAAAATGTGATAAACAATATGCTGTAAAAAAAATTCGTCAAAAACTTTAAGAACACGATGCCCCGCCCCATTTTTTAAATGGTCATTTTTGGAACTTTGACGGGCTATAACTTTCGCTAGGAACAGCCATTTGCCCAAAACTTGGTACCAAACGACTCTACTCAATGAGACCTTTCCAATGATGTATAATATGTTGGGTTTTGAGACATAAAATGTTCACCCGCAAGTTGATGCTCTTAGTACATACACTAACACGGCCGCTGTCTGGTGCTGCTAGGCATTTATTGATCAAGATGTTTTATTGTATTGATTTATAATGATTTTATTGTTCGTGACTAATCAAGTTCTAAGTGGAGGTATAAAGTGCTGCTTAAGATACTTCGTCATCTCATGTCCAGTATAATGATTAAGATATGTAGTATACAATGAAGTTTTAGTAGTTGACCCATACAGTTAAGTCCGTCATAACTCACAATCGTTAAGTCGTCGGTCAATTGTCAAAGTCGTTGTGTGTTTATTCGTTGAGATAGCAGTAAGATAAGATGTTACACGCGCGCGCGTTTAATCCCGTCGACGTGAGATGTGACAATGAAAACGCCATAGAATTATTATTTTCGCGCGTTACGTAGAGTTTACCAGCGTGTAATACTAGTTAACACTGGGTGTACACTGAGTGTAAGCATAATTAAGTGTAAGTTTCATATACAAGCCGTTGAATATTTCCAATTTTGAGTGTATCGTGAGCATGTTTTACAGTGCGATTGCTCGGTACTAGTGTGTTTGTGTATATATATATATATATATATATATTATGTCATTTGTGGAGTATGGTGTAAGTAATGTTTTTGGTTGGAGTGCAGTGGTTGTATGTATGAGAAAAGATATATGGTCATTTAGTAACTCGCATAAATCAGAACTTGAGCTCATTTGTGGCAAAATTAAGCTCACACCAATCAAGTGTATCCACATAACAGGGGGAGCTGAAACCAGGTTTTCGATCAAACGCTGCAATGTGTAGTCAAACGTTGCCTAAAGTTGCTCTCGTCCAATGAAATCGCTGCATTATGTAAGCCAAGCTCCGCATATGAATATATGTAATTCAATTATGCATACTGACTTGCAAAATGCAGCGATTTCATTGGACGAGAGCAACTGTTGGCGACGTTTGACTACAAATGGCAGCATTTGATCGAAAACCTGGTTTCAGCCCCCCCTGTGTATCATGCTTGAAGTGCAATTCTCGTAAGGCAATTTTTACCTGAGGACCCCAGGCTATTATGTTCATTAACATAAAAGAATAAAGATTTGGCGGAATGACAGGCTGAGCGCAGCCCAGTAAGGCAATTTTCAATTAAATTAAAACGTTTCAAAACGGAGGCTTGTAAATATTATTATATTATGATTGTAAAATAAAGGATAACTGTCACCTTGATTCACGATGTCAATCCTTCGCATCCCGCCGATCTGCATTTGTGGTTGCGAGAAGCATATTTGATGTGCGCGCGACCCAGTAGTGCATCGCGCTACAAACTGTCACCAAGATGTAAATATAAATCAGATCGAACGAGAAATTAGATCGAACGAGAAATTAGATTTCTCGTTCGATCTAATTTCTCGTTCGATCTAATTCCTCGTTCGATCTGATTTACATCTTGGTGACAGTAAAATTTTAAATTTGTTTCACTAAAATTTGTTTCACTGTTGCAAGATTACAAGTACAATTGACAGTGTTAACTCACAACGTATATGTTAAGTGAAAATAATAGTGTGTCTCAATTTGACGGATGTTACTCGTCTAAATTTCTTCGAAGTAGCACGCGCCGCTTTCTTCTCGACGGCAAGTCACAAGTGCTACGAAGTAGCGCGCGCCGGGCCAGACCATTAACAATGGTCAAGGTCTCAATACTCAATATATTACATCGCAGCACATTACTATATTTGGTTTAATTACGAGTTCATTTTGTATTTTGGGGTATAAATTATTATTTTGATGCCAGGTTCATTTTTTTGCTTAAACTTTACGAACTTACTTTGCTAACCGACTTTCATTCACTATCTATAAAAGGGGTAGCTATATTTTTGGCCCCAAAAATGGCCATTTTTTGAGGTTTTTGCAACGTTTCGATAGGTTAATTCAATGGAAAAGCTTAAATATTTTGGTTTCTGATACATTTTGATATGCCACACCAGCTAATATTAATATAATAAGCACGCCTAAGAGTTAACACGGTCACAATTTTAAAAAACCTCCCAAACACCAAAAAAATCTTTTTCGCAGTGCTGAGAACTTTGAAAATTTCTGAGAAAAATCGAGCGCTACCGTAAAATTTCAGTCACACTTCCCTGCAACTCATTAAAGTTTTTGTATGGTTGTTGTATTGTCCTTTTCAGAAGTTCATGCCTTCTCTGGCTTAATTAATTTGGCAGTGCTCAGTTGACATAGGTTACATGCCACTTTTCGGAAGGCGGAAAAAGTAAAAATAGCATAATATCTCTGATGTTTGTGATACGCAACATGTATCAATTAGTGCAGTGCTCAGCCTGTCCATGTCATGCACCGAGCCGGGCCGGGATTAATGATTATATTAAAAAGTAGAAAATTGCAATCATATGCTGCTCAATTTCTTACCTGGGGACCTCAGGCTATCATGTTCATAAACAACGAATAGAGATTAGGCGGAATGACAGGCTGAGCGCAGCCGGGCCCAGTAACTCAATTCCATGCATGAGCGCATTTAATTTTATTTATGTGTATGCCGGGAGGCCTTATTTTGAATTGAGTTTATTCTCTATCTATAAACATTATTAGTGTAACACGGGACTTTTACTAATTTGCTCGCCCAAAAATTTCATGTGACTTTGGTTTTTATGGTTTTGCAGCCGTATAAAACGGTTTTACATAAACCCTAATCCCAACCCTAACCCTAACCATAACCCCATAGTTATCCATAACCCTTTCACAACCCTAACCCTAACATGAGTCTTAAACAATCGAATTCATGTTTTACTAGCATGTTTCACAAGAATTTTCTTAAAATTTGGGCGAGCGATTTAGTAGGAGCGGTAACATGGCCTTTGGCCGGGATTTCACTGCCGCAGTTATAAAAAGGGTAGGAGAATTTACCTGCTGAGTCAAAACCCGCATTAGATGAGCAATTCTATTTGGAGTGCCCTCACGTATCCAATATTATCTTAAACAATAATCTCATAATCAGTTCTTTCTCGTGGATAATTAAGTCATTATTAGGCACCACATTCCTTGATCATAAGGTCCGTAGTTAAGTTTTTCAAAATCGTCCCACAATCAAACGACCCAGAAGTAACTGGCAACTGCCCACATGCAACCCTTGAATAACACACTTAATTCGTGTCAGAAAATTATACATAAATTTTCCACTTGGGAGTCCAAATTTTGGGTTCTAAAATTCTTATTCCTTGGCCAATTTTTTATTTTTCCATGCTGATTTGAAGGCCATTAAAGCATTTGACCTAGTCAAAAAAGTTTCAGTTGTATATCTTTTACGGATTTTGCGGAAAGTCGCGTTAAAGTTGATGCTGTGGTGTCAGTAAAATGGCACGGATCCATATTATATATACTAGCAGGAACCCGTATAACCCTAAAATGGTGTCAAGACTCAAGAGACTAAAATAATTATTACCTATTTAATTCGTGTTTTTGACACCACTTGGGGGTCCAAATTTTGGGCTCTAAAACTCCTATCCCTTGGCCAATTTTTTATTTTTTCATGCTGATTTGAAAAGCATAAAAGCATTTGACCCAGTCAAAAATGTTTCAGTTGTATATCTTTTACGGTTTTTGCGGAAAGTCGCGTTAAAGTTGATGCCGTGGTGTCAGTAAAATGGCACAGATATATATATCGTCTCGCTTTATATATAGTAAGATATCGTCTCGCTTTATATATAGTAAGATGGGTCAAACTTATATTCCCTGTCAGTTTTGAACAAATTTCACCGACTACAGTGAAAGCAGCATCCCATTGTATGACATGATATTATGTTAGTTGGAATATTAAGTTGTCTTAAAATGTTAAATTGTCTCAAAATGTTAAGTTGTCTTAAATGTTAAGTTGTCTTAAATTTTAAGTTGTCTTAAATTTTAAGTTGACTTAAATGTTTAAAGTCGGATGTGACTCAAATTTATCATACATTAATGTTATTAAATCCACTAATTCATTTCTTACTTCTTAGGTAATACGATTTATCTCTGTTTAGCTGAGTATGTCATGTCTTAATTCTGCTTTTTTAATGGGCTGCCTCATTTTATTCACCTTTGGAACAACTATCAAAGAATCGAATTCAAGATGGCCGGAGGTATCCAAAATATCATCTTTGTGTCCTGGAATGCGTCAATGGTGTCCTGTGATGTGCTGTAAATGCGTAAGTAAATGTATCTACATAATTTTAAACCGCATAAAGCAACTTATTGAATGTAATGAGGTAACTTTCACAATCAAGGAGTGCAAAGAGACAAAATATCTTGGCCTCATTCTAGATAGTAAATTAAACTTCAAAAGCCATGTAGATTATATTATTAGGAAGGTCATGAAGAGAATTGGTGCCATGTATAGAAGTAAAGCACTGCTACCCATTAAATATAGGAAAATGTTTGCCAATGCACTCATGTTGCCACAATTCGATTATTCAGACACGATCTATTGTAGAGCTGGCAAGACAAAACTTGCTGAACTTGACACTCTGTACAAAAAGGTAGCCAAAATAGCTCTCAACGTTCCACAAACAGAGAGCAGCCTTAATGTTTATAGAGACATGAAATGGTTACCACTCCATCTTAGACGACAACTCCATCTGTCAAATTATATGTTTAGAATCATCCATGACAATTGTCCTACAAACTTTATGAACAAATTTAGTTACATATCAGGAGGTAGTAGGAGCGGCGAAAGCTGCAACCTATATGTTAATAGATCAACATCACATAAAAACTTTCAATACTTGGGGGGCAAAATGTTGGAATAATGTTCCAACAGATCTACGAAATCTGCCCGATGTTAAAAGCTTTAGTGATTCGTATAAGAAACAGCTACTCTCATCTATAACAACAGACCCTAATTATACCGTCGACAATTCATATGACAAATTTTACACTGCAATCATAGTCGACGATAACTAAGTATCTTCTAATTCTTTTAAATCTGAGGCATATATAATTGATGTATCGAAAGGATATTCCCTTTTTTACCACCTTACCATTCTGATTGATTTTGCACATGACTGACATGTTTTAACTGGAGAAGGGGTTCGCACAGTGGTAGTTTTATAAACCACTTTTAATTTATTGACCTATTATACCTAGTGGTAGTTTTATAGACCACATTTAATTTATTAACTTATTATACTTAGTATTTATTTTTGGTGACTGTATCACCCAGTTTTAACATTTGATAATTGTACAGTTTATTGACGACACATTGACTGAATGTTATTTTATATTCTAATTTGTATTCTAGATATTTTATTTATTTTTCAACAGACGACAACTTCCTGTTTTTTCTTCTATATTAGTTACTCATATCTCTTGTACAGACTGTTTTACAAGGACATTGACAGATGATACTCACATTAGGCATTCATTATTGCATCTAAATTATTTCACTTGCATTAGGTTTAGAAATTTATTCTCTGGTTAACAGATTTTAAATGTTTAATTAATTTGTAGTATGACAGTAAGGTATATAAGAAGTTATTTAATTTTGCTTGGGCTATTATATTGACTATTGAGGTTTAATGATGATATGGAATTTGAATTCTATATAAATTTACACTATGTGGTTGGGGCATTTTGCATAGTAAATATGGTTACTACTCCTATATATCATATTATTTGATTGTTATTCGATTTCTGATTATTTCTTAGGAATATGATTATTATATCTCAATTTGGCTTTAGGTAGGGTGCCTCGCTAAAAGAACTGGATTCTTCCAGGAAGCATCCTGTGCACAGACCTTGGTCTACATATAATATATTAAATTATTAACCATTCATTCTGTATGTGCACGAAAATTTATTTCAATCAAAACTTCAAATTTTTCTTTTCATTATCTGCGTTCTGCTTTCATAGTTTCAACAACAGTGAGTTCAAAGTATAATGAATGAAATACCAGACAATCCGCACTCTTATAACTCAAAAGCATGAGTAAGTAGTAACTCGTAATAGTATGATATATGATTCTTAAAAACTTCAAATTAAGTTTGGCGCTCACAAGTCCTCGTGATCATGTGATCACCGTGTGAGGTGTTGTAAATGCGCAGCGCACCGTCTAGCTTAAATTATTCACCTTACTGAGGCAGCCAACCAATGCACAGCTTTATTTCTATGATATGATATGTTTTGATTGTTATTAATAAATACAAAAATTTAAAACTTGTTTTCCTTTTCAAATAAGTATATAAATATGCATATTTTACTTGTTATAATCGATCACTCTCAATTCAATTTTCAGGATGCTTATGGTGGATACATGTGCTGTCCTCACAAAGATGGAATTTGCTGCGGTGAAACCTCACGCCATTGCTGCGCAAAACATGAGACGTGCACTAAATGGGGGGTAGGAATAAATATTGAGTTATATTTTTTCCTTAAACAATATCTTGTACCGTTTTCTTATTTATTTGAGATCAAACTGTTAAATGTTACATAAGACATCAAATTTAGATCTGTAGCAAGTCTATCTGAAAAAATTAATCATTCTGTTAACACTATTATCAAATATTTTGCAGTGTCATCAGGAAGAAACTGGCCACACATTAAGCAAACCGCTGTCTCATCCACTTCTATGATAGATTAAATGGGTTCCATCTGAATAGTTACTACCTGTGTACTGTGAAGTTAATCCTCCTTGAAAATATAGATGTGATATTGCATATTATAAAATTATAGTTGGGTGAACCTTCAGAATTTCATGCATGATACCAATAGTGGTAAAGAATGTATTATTTAGAATTGGTAGCATGATTAAGATACCTATTATGCATGTTAAATTTAAGATACTAAGATGTCATGGTGACATAATGATGCTGAGAGGTTGGTATTTAATGAAGATTTTTATCAGATGGAAATACACCAACCTAGAATTTCTCCAGATTTATGGTGATACTTTTATTAAGTTTTTTTTTTCAGAATTTTAATGCCAGCCTAGGCTTATATAACGAAACTCCTAATACATTTTTTGTACTTTTTACAGATTTTTAATAAGAATTTATAAATTTTTTTGTATATATTTTTTCATACATATTGTGTGATTGTTTACATTGTACAATATAATGTTGAAGTCGGAACAAGAATCTTAAATTTTATTCATTCACCATGATTTTTGTTTAATAATGGGATTAACTTAATAAAGGTGGTTACTATGGTAACTAATTAATAGAGTTGTTAAACGCTTAGAATTTTAGTCACGTGACACTACTTGAACAGGATTTAATTTAAGTTGCTTGTTTTATTTCGGCCCTGAATGAATCTGTTAATTTAGAATTTTAAGGGACTACTAGTATTTCATATATTGTATTTTGTTTTACTTCTGCACATTTAGGCAGTTGCTCTTGACTCTTGTGACCCGAGTTTTAGATATTATATATTCGGCCCTATTATTATAGTCAGTGACTAGAGGCCATTTCTGAAATGATGTATAAATTTTAAAAATTTATATTTTATAACCTTCACAAATATGTTCGACAATGGTTATTTATGGTTTTAAAAGTTGACACCCTTATATTATTAATAACTAAATGTATAGTTAATTTTCAATATCAAGAATAAAAATGTCAACTAAAAATAAAGATCCCTCAATTGTCTGAATACAAACCACAAGTAATATCATAGGAAGAGAAGCAAGCTATTATATAAAAGTTTAGCTGATCATGACAGGTCTAAATCCTGCCCTGATCGTGGGATGCCTCATTGTGTACTCTTTTGGAACACCTATCCAAGTGTCGAATGAAAGGTCAGAGGTATCCAACGTATCATCAATCTGTCCTGGCATGCAAGTAATGTGTCACCATGACCAAAAGTGCTGTCGTCAAAGAGTAAGTTAATTATTTTTTAGGGGAATTTCTTCTTATGCTGTCAGATGAGAATACAAATACAGTCAAACCTTTATACCGTGCCGTTCTTAAATAATGCAATATTGATACAAACCTTTATACCGTGCCGTTCTTAAATAATGAAATATTGACACAGGACTCCTACGGTGGATACGCATGTTGCCCTCATGTAAATGGAGTTTGCTGTGGTGAATACTCAAAGCACTGCTGCCCGCATGATCACACATGTACTCAATACGGGGTTAGGATTACAACTATCATAGCTTTACTATTATATCATATTCAATTGGAGTTGAAAATTAAATCATGATTTGAGACATACAATTTTAATATTTTTCCGACCTAGATTATATACCTTTTATTTTGCTGAGACTATAATACATTTTTAATTGTCACCCCCAAATATTTTGCAGTGTCATCATGAAGAAAATGGTAACACCTTAAGTAATCCTCTGTCGCATCCTTTTGTACGGCAGATTATGAATTTAGTTCCTGCTGAACCGGTAAGACTTCTTCATCAATTTAAATATATTTATATAATTATTATATTACTAGTGTAACCGGTGCCCACGGCCGGGACTTCACCATCGCAAATGCAAAAGTATAAACCCCCTATTATAATATTCGGAAACACGCATTACATTTTCGTAGTTAAAACGGTGAGAAAGTATGAACTCGCCAAACAGCCCGCAATTTAATTCTGAGTGCCCCTCGGCCCTCATGTATCTAATAGTAATATTTGATAGGCAATCTTGAGGTACACTGCCAAGTTACCTAATTATATAGCAAATCTGTTATGTGGTGAGAGAGAGAGCGAGAGTGGGAGAGAACGTGAGACACTTTAGTATCACATTTGGGTCACAAAGTGATCAATTAAACCACTTACCACACTATTGAATAACTTGATAAGAACCTCTAGATTGCATATTATGCAGGCTGTCTATTTAGGGTATTTTAATTCATGTCGAGATGTTGTTCGTGACAAGATAATTAACAGTACAAGCACGTTATTCGATACCAATTTATCAATTATCAATTATAAATTACACCGAAGTGTACCGTTGTACTATCAATGTGTATGTTTGGATTGTTAATAACGTTTAATTCTTTGCAGGATAGGCCAATAATTATTGCTGCACCACAGCAAAAGAAATTAGATCTCATTAAGAAGCTATCTGAAGATTATCCTATTAAGGGTGGAGCATTATGCACTGGCAACAAGCCTTGTCCAATTATTGACAATGATGGTGAGATTTCACTTTAAAATTATAACTCTAATATTGTAGATTCAGTAATAATAATAAAGTATTGAACCTATAGGTCTTCATGAGATTGATAATTTTTGATCAAAAAAATGAGTGATATTAAGTTCATTACATGATTTGCTATAATATATTATATATTAAGCAAGCAAATCAATTTTCCAGGTAATACAGTTGCGTATACGTGTTGTCCATACTCCGAAAAGGCAACATGTTGTGAATCTTGGTGTTGTGACGAAGGATTCCAATGTGGACCTCCCCAAAATCAGACTTGCATCCCTGTCAAAGAAGGCGCCGCAGCAATATCTGCTGCAGCGCCCCAGAAAGAAGCACCACCACATTACAGTGCTACAACACTGTATACATGCCCTCCTGGATTAAACAATACTTGTACTGACGATCAGACCTGTTGTGTGACACCCGAAAAGCATTTCAGTTGTGCTCCTTTTGCTAATGCCACATGCTGTCTTGATGGTGTCCATTCTTGCCCTCAGGGATATAAATGTGATAAAGATACTAACGTTTGTAGTCCTGACAATTCAACGATGCATGGCCTGGAAAGTAAAAACGATGGGAATTTAATTGACTGTGACTCAATGATGCAATGCTCCGACAACCAAACTTGCTGCAGTTTAACTGATGGCACTTTTGGCTGTTGTCCCTTTAAAAATGCCACTTGTTGTTCGGATCACATTCATTGCTGCCCAGAAAATTTAGAATGTGATCACAAATCACACACTTGTAAAAGTCCTAAAAGTGACAGCAGCAACATTTCCTTAGAAAAAGTTTCCACAGTAAGCCCTGCTGATGTCCAATGTAAAGACGGATCTAAATGTCCAGATGGTATGACTTGCTGCTCGATAGGCAAAGAACAGTTTGGATGCTGTCCTTTTCAAGAGGCTACATGCTGCAGTGACATGGTGCATTGTTGCCCTAAAAGTACTGTTTGTAACACGGAAAGAGGAACATGTGATCCCTCTGGAGTTGAACAAATTATCAGCAAAACCGAGAAGCTGCAGGCTTCAACAGACCGGCCTGATATTGCAAACATAGTGTGCGACGGAGAGATGGAATGCAGTAATAACCAAACTTGCTGCAGGCTAACTGATGGCTCGTTCGGTTGCTGTCCGTTTCCAATAGCTGTTTGTTGCTCCGATCATGTGCACTGCTGTCCTCACGAGATGTGGTGTGATCACAAGACTAAAAGATGCAAAAACCCTGGGAACTCTATTCCAATGGGAAAGAAACTACCAGCATATCCAAAGACTTCTCAGCCAGCCAGTTCAGTGCCTCTTGGATTAAAAGTTCCAGCCACCAAACCAAGTTCATTTATCGACACTATCCTGAAACCAAGTTCATTTATCGACACTATCCTGAAACCAAGTTCATTTATCGACACAATCCTGAAACCAAAGTCTATACCGCTGGGTGTAAAGTTCCCTGCTACTAAGAAAGCTGCTGGTGCAACGAATTCCATACCCTTAGCAGTGAAGATTCCTGCCAAGATGCCTTCTTTAGTAAAAGTTAGCGATTTAAGTGAAGTTTTGAAACCTGCCAAAACATCACACATACCCTCAAAAAGTGTTAAATGTGATGATGGTTCCTCGTGTCCTACTGGTACAACGTGTTGTAAGCTATCTTCTGGAGACTGGGGTTGTTGTCCTTATCCTAAAGCTGTGTGTTGTGACGATGGAGAGCACTGCTGTCCTCAAGGTTTGAAAAATGAATTTTGTATTAACCATTCTGAAGAAACTAAGATGAATTAAGGAAACTTACAGTAAATATAACAACAGCTTCAATGTCGAATTACTTTAATACTTCATGTTAATTTTCATTTTCACAGGTTACACATGTGACGTGAGCGGAGGAACATGTGATAGAGGTAACACCAAATCTGAACTAACTGAACCAACAATTGAGGCAATTAAGTGTGATGATGGTTCCATTTGTCCTAGTGGTAGCACATGCTGTAAAGAAGCATCTGGAGGTTGGGCTTGTTGTCCTCTACCCAATGCTGTCTGCTGTACTGATCTAGTTCACTGCTGTCCTAATGGTTTGTTTACATTGTTTTGTTAGCTCATAAAATATCATGATTCTACTTGGATATAATTATAACAGTATAAAGTATTTGAAGTTTCTATAAAACCTACTTTCCTCACTCTTCTACTGCTATGAAAGCATGACAATATGCATTTTTCAAAACGTTTAAAGTTTGATTGAATAATATGTACTGAACCAGATGAATTTCAATCTATTTTGGTCGCTTGCTCATTTTGTAAGACCATTTTTATCGTAATCTCCTCAGTCCCAATTACAATCAAACCTGGAAACTTCTAGAAAATTCAAAATCCAAAAACTTAAACCAAGATTAAAAAACGTTTTTTTCAGGATACATTTGTGATTTGACTATTGGAAGTTGCAACAAAGCCAGTGGAATTGAGAATCTACTAACTGAGTTGTCAGTTGGAAATGTTAAATGTGATGATGGTTCATCGTGTCCTACTGGTACAACGTGTTGTAAGCTATCTTCTGGAGACTGGGGTTGTTGTCCTTATCCTAAAGCTGTGTGTTGTGACGATGGAGAGCACTGTTGTCCTCAAGGTTTGTCCCTCAAAAAAGAACTTTAAATGATGATCCTTCGAAAAAGTTTTACCAAATGCAATGAATAGGCTATGGGTTGAAGCATTTAAATTCCGACTTAAGATTAAGAGGCAGGAAATTATTATATCCGTATTATGATTTAATTTTGTCTCTTTTAAATTTAAGTTTCTTTGTCCTAGGTTACACATGTGACGTGAGTGCAGGAAAATGTGACAGAGGTAACACACAATCTGAACTTACTGAGTTGTCAGTTGGAAGTGTTAGTTGTGATGATGGTTCATCGTGTCCTACTGGTACAACGTGTTGTAAGCTATCTTCTGGAGACTGGGGTTGTTGTCCTTATCCTAAAGCTGTGTGTTGTGACGATGGAGAGCACTGCTGTCCTCAAGGTTTGTCCCTCAAAAAAGAACTTTAAATGATGATCCTTCGAAAAAGTTTTACCAAATGCAATGAATAGGTTATGGGTTGAAACATTTTGAGTCCCGACTTAAGATTAAGAGGCAGGAAATTATTATTATTATTTTATTTTGTCTCTTTTAAATTTTAGTTTCTTTGTCCCAGGTTACACATGTGACGTGAGTGCAGGAACATGTGACAGAGGTAACACACAATCTGAACTAACTGAGTTGTCAGTTGGAAGTGTTAGTTGTGATGATGGTTCATCGTGTCCTACTGGTACAACGTGTTGTAAGCTATCTTCTGGAGACTGGAGTTGTTGTCCTTATCCTGAAGCTGTGTGTTGTGACGATGGAAAGCACTGCTGTCCTCAAGGTTTGTCTCTTTAAAAATGACTTAAAATGATGATCCTTCGAAAATATTATACGAAATGAATAGGTTATGAGTCAAGGATTGAAGCATTTTGAATCCTGACTGAAGATAAAAAGGCAGGATATTGTTTTTATCATTTTTTACTTTCTTTTCTCTCTATTTAATTTTAGTTTCTTTGTCCCAGGCTACACATGCGACTTGAGTGCAGGAACATGTGACAGAGGTAACACACAATCTGAACTAACTGAGTTGTCAGTTGGAAGTGTTAGTTGTGATGATGGTTCATCGTGTCCTACTGGTACAACGTGTTGTAAGCTATCTTCTGGAGACTGGGGTTGTTGTCCTTATCCTAAAGCTGTGTGTTGTGACGATGGAGAGCACTGCTGTCCTCAAGGTTTGTCTCTTTAAAAAAGAACTTAAAATAAATGGTTGCAAAGTGGTGTCCAATCAGAACTTCTGATGAAACAAATAAACGAGTAATCTGAATCCTTCGAAAATGTTTTACAAAATTAATTGGTAAATGGGTCAAGAATCGGAGTATTTTGAATTCCAAGTTAAGATAAAGAGGCAGGACATTGAAATGAATAAATTGCCTGTATACCGCCCATTGCATTATTATTATTTATTTATTTAATTTTGTCTCTTTTTAATTTAAGTTTCTTTGTCCCAGGTTACAAATGTGACGTGAGTGCAGGAACATGTAACAGAGGTAACACACAATCTGAACTAACTGAGTTGTCAGTTGGAAGTGTTAAATGTGATGATGGTTCATCGTGTCCTACTGGTACAACGTGTTGTAAGCTATCTTCTGGAGACTGGGGTTGTTGTCCTTATCCTAAAGCTGTGTGTTGTGACGATGGAGAGCACTGCTGTCCTCAAGGTTTGTCTCTTTCAAAAGGATTTAAAATGATGATCCTTCGAAAAAGTTTTACTAAATAATAATAATAATAAATTGAAATTTAATAACACCACTTTGAAGATAAAACTTATACTCAGCAGTGTTTGAACTAGTCATCCCAGAAAATATCATGAATACTGAGCTGAAAGATAACTTAAGTTTGAAAATATATCGTCAATATTAAAGCCCGAAAATGGTACTACGGTAAAATAAATTATGCAAAGATCAAATTCCAAATATGACCACAATAATTATCGATAAAGTTTTTCAAGTTCATCCGGGGACAGTTTGAAAAGGTAAGTTTTTGGAAAAGCTTTATAAGATTCCAAAGATTTAGCTGAGGTGATGGTAACAGGCAATGAAATAAATAAATAAGTTTTTAAAAAATTTATTACGAATAGATTGGTAAATGGGTAAAAGGGTTGAAGCATTTTGAATCCCAACTTAAGATAAAGAGGCAGAACAATGAAATGAATAAATTGTTTGTTTACCGCCAATTATTATTATTCTTTATTTTATTTTGTCTCTTCTAATTTAAGTTTCTTTGTCCCAGGTTACACATGTGACTTGAGTGCAGGAACATGTGACAGAGGTAACACACAATCTGAACTAACTGAGTTGTCAGTTGGAAGTGTTAGTTGTGATGATGGTTCATCGTGTCCTACTGGTACAACGTGTTGTAAGCTATCTTCTGGAGACTGGGGTTGTTGTCCTTATCCTGAAGCTGTGTGTTGTGACGATGGAAAGCACTGCTGTCCTCAAGGTTTGTCTCTTTAAAAAAACTTAAAATGATGATCCTTCGAAAAATGTCTTACGAAATGGTTCATCGTGTCCTAATGGAATGGGTCGAAGATTGAAGCATTTTGAATTCCGACTTAAAATTAAGAGGCAGGATATTATTTTTATTATTTTTAATTTCATTTTGCCTCTTTTTAATAGTAGATTCTCTCTCCTAGGCTACACATGTGACGTAAGTGCAGGAACATGTGACAGAGGTAACACACAATCTGAACTAACTGAGTTGTCAGTTGGAAGTGTTAGTTGTGATGATGGTTCATCGTGTCCTACTGGTACAACTTGTTGTAAGCTATCTTCTGGAGACTGGGGTTGTTGTCCTTATCCTAAAGCTGTGTGTTGTGACGATGGAGAGCACTGCTGTCCTCAAGGTTTGTCTCTTTCAAAAGAACTTAAAATAAATGCTTGCAAAGTGGCGTCCAATCAGAACTTCTGATGAAACAAATAAGCAAGTGATTTAAATCCTTCGAAAATGTTTTAAAAAATTAATTGGAAGATGGGTCAAGAATCAGAGCATTTTGAATCCCAACTTAAGATAAAGAGGCAGGTCATTGAAATGAATAAATAATAAATTGCTTGTATATCGCCCATTATTATTATTTATTTATTTAATTTTGTTTGAACTATTTAATTTTAGTTTCTTTGTCCCAGGTTACACATGTGACGTGAGCGCAGGAACATGTAACAGAGGTAACACACAATCTGAACTAACTGAGTTGTCAGTTGGAATTGTTAGTTGTGATGATGGTTCATATTGTCCTACTGGTACAACGTGTTGTAAGCTATCTTCTGGAGACTGGAGTTGTTGTCCTTATCCTGAAGCTGTGTGTTGTGACGATGGAAAGCACTGCTGTCCTCAAGGTTTGTCTCTTTAAAAATGACTTAAAATGATGATCCTTCGAAAATATTATACGAAATGAATAGGTTATGAGTCAAGGATTGAAGCATTTTGAATCCTGACTGAAGATAAAAAGGCAGGATATTGTTTTTATCATTTTTTACTTTCTTTTCTCTCTATTTAATTTTAGTTTCTTTGTCCCAGGTTACACATGTGACGTGAGTGCAGGAACATGTGACAGAAGTAACACACAATCTGAACTAACTGAGTTGTCAGTTGGAAGTATTAAATGTGATGATGGTTCATCGTGTCCTACTGGTACAACGTGTTGTAAGCTATCTTCTGGAGACTGGGGTTGTTGTCCTTATCCTGAAGCTGTGTGTTGTAACGATGGAGAGCACTGCTGTCCTCAAGGTTTGTCTCTCAAAAAGGACTTAAAATGATGATCCTTCGGAAAAGTATGTATTTAATTGTATTTCTATTGTCTTTCTAAAACTTTGATTTTGTATCAAGGATCATTAATTGGTTTTTTTCATTTTTCACTGAGTCGGGAATTGACATAAGTTCCTCTTTCTCTCTCACAGGTTACACATGTGACGTGAGTGCAGGAACATGTGACAGAGCCAGTACAAACACAGAGCTCACATCTGGGTGGTATGAAGAATGCGGCGACGGTACAGCCTGTCCAGGTGGTACATCATGCTGCAAGATGACGGCCGGCTACTACGGTTGCTGTCCTTACCCTAACGCTGTTTGTTGTCAAGATCAAAAACATTGCTGTCCTAATGGTTTGTTTATTATGATTTTAATTGTTTCTGATCATTTTATTTTAAACTGTAAACCGTTCAGTCGCTTTAAATCGTCATTTAATGTAAATAAATTCATATTAACCTAATTTATGTGAGAGTTGGTTGAAAATGATTAAAGATTCTCGTTATGTTCTCTGTGTCCGTTGTCCAGTATTATGTTATCAATTATAATAAATCTAAAATACTGATAAGCTGATACACTAGCTACTACACTAAAATACTGATAAGCTGATACACTAGGTACTACTCTAAAATACTGATAAGCTGATACACTAGGTACTTGAGCCCACAGTTTGGCTCCATATTGAGCCATACTACCCATGATACGTTAGTAGTTCATACTCAATTTTTCTAAAAACCCTTCTCGGAGCATATAAATCACCTTCAGAAGGATTCCGTAGAAGGAATTTCATACCTTCATTCCATTATTGCATTTTTATACGGACTAAGGTTTACTTTGTTCTACTCACGGCAAAGTTTCCATTGCTGATAAGTTCCTCTCAGGGAATGTTACCGTGTTACATATCATCGTATCATATTTCAATATCCATTATCCATTATCATTAGTGGCCAGAAAGCCAGTGAAAAGGCCTAGTATTAAATTGTTTTATCGTTAAAACGTTATAAAGTTAGGTTAGCAAGGAAAATATACGATTGACAATTTTCTGCGATATTTCAATAAATGTATATTGTATAGGGACATAAAGATACATAAAATGTATATTTGTATAGGTAAATTCCGCTCAAACTCTACCACCATGCATACATAACATAAGAAATCAAAGTTTCAACAATACAATACAATAAACTTCATTTCCCCTCAGGTCATACATGTGACTCCAGCTCTAAAAAGTGCTATCACCACCAATCAGAGGCCAATAATACCATTCAAGCCGGCCAGGTGATGGGTGATAACACCCTCCAAGCCGGCCAGGTGATGGGTGATAACACCCTCCAAGCCGGCCAGGTGATGGGTGATAACACCCTCCAAGCCGGCCAGGTGATGGGTGATAACACCCTCCAAGCCGGCCAGGTGATGGGTGATAACACCCTTCAAGCCGGCCAGGTGATGGGTGATAACACCCTCCAAGCCGGCCAGGTGATGGGTGATAACACCCTACAAGCCGGCCAGGTGATGGGTGATAACACCCTACAAGCCGGCCAGGTGATGGGTGAGATTAGCCCTGCTCAACACATTCCTTCATCACGTGGTATGAGTAATAAAAGCATTCCTGAGGAGGGTTCTGGGGATGATGGAAAGGGGTTCTGTAAGGACGGCAAGTGGTGTGGCGTTGAGAAATGTTGTTATGATTCAGATGGTAAAACTGTTGGCTGCTGCAAGTTCGTTAAAGGTAATATTTTTGTTGAAACTCTTAGTTTTTAGTTGAAACTCTTTATTCTTCAGTTGAAATTCTTAGTTCTTTAGTTACAACTCTTAGTTCTATCTTTGTAAATATGTGTGCCGTTATAATTGTGTGTCGTTATAATTGTAAACAAGTTTGCGAATTTATAAGTAATTTTTATTCATTGAAATACTTTAAATTAATGAATTTATCTTTCATTCGGTGAGCTGGGAAACTCCCTAATTCAGTTATTCAGGCCTGCTCAATGCTCAAGATAAGATAAGACTTGATAAGATAATACAGTACTTGTGACAGAAAAAACGTCATGATTTCATATTACGAGAACCTCGTGATATCAAGATAAAGTGATAACATTTTCAGGTGTGTGCTGTTCTAATGGTAAAAACTGTTGTAAGGCGACTGAAATATGTACACAGCAAGGAAGCTGCATTCCTTCCAACTCTTCTGGTATCGGTGAGAATTTTTTAATATTTTATCAATATCAGTAAGTCTGAACATTGAACAAGCTGAAATAACTGCTAATTGTGGAGCCTTCCTACGGAATTGAGTACGAAGTAGGGTTCAAATATCAATATTCGATATTATTAATATTTTTGTGTATCAATGATACGATACTATGTATCATTTAAAAAGGCAACATTTGTATTTATCACGTCTTGACATATTTTGACAAAGCGAATTTTCAATAATTATCCCGAGCATAATTACTCAACAACCCCAATCCAGGACCTTAAAGTAAAGTAATAATCTACCGTCTCTGAAAAAATTAGGCGTTCAGCATGTTCAGAGAAAACAATACAGGTGTTTTAATATTGAATGGGCGTGGTCTAAATTATTAGAATTTTCAAATTTTTACGACGGAATCCTCGAACCAGTAAGTACAGTATGCTATCTGCAAAGCAACAGCTCTCAAATATAAAACACGGCGGAGCTATCAAGGCCAACGTATGTTCTGTGACTTTTGGCCCACCCTGTATGATGATGACATCAATGTATCTTTCTAACTGAGTAGAAAAGTCTAATTCTGTAGCTTGTCAGGCTCCTTTTCACGGTGATTAAATTAAAGTTTCCTTGTTTCTCTTATAAACTACAGAAAATACATACGTTTATTATATACGGAATATATGATAGAGGGAATAATGTGCATAGTGTAGCATTATAAATTACATATATATTCAGTATAATCAGTACTCAGTAGGTTACTCGATACATTCAATATTCATGGGTATTAATTTGTATTTCCATAGTTATTCCGTGTTCCTTATACCTTTATACATCTAAACATCAGGAGAGGACGAGGAAAGTGCTGATTGCACCTCTTGTGCTGAAGGAGACACATGCTGTAGCGGACAGTGCTGTCCTCAATCTAACGGTGTGTGTTGTAATGACGGTGTCTCCTGCTGTCCTCATCAGTTCGAGTGTGATCTGTCACGTGGGCGTTGTATCCAGGTAAACTTGTTTGGTAAATTTTATGTTAGTTTATAGATAATTGTGATGTGATGGCTCTATATTATTGGGAGGATGTCTTTCTGCTGGTTATATTTCCCATCAAAACAATCACTGCGGTTTGTGGTTCTTAAGTAGTATAATAGGTCTTTTTGAAGAACAAAAATGAGCGTGAATACTGTTACGATGACGACGGTTACTAGTGGAAGATTTTAGATTTTTGGTTTCTGATTTTCGAGTTTTAACTTTTCGCTCTAAAACGTAATTTGATCTTCTGCCTCGCGAATGCACGGCTTTGAATAAAAAATCAGCTGACATCCTCTGTCCTCAGTTCAGTTCTTTTACTTGGAGAAAATAATGTTCGAAGGAACGTTGCGACCTGAACTATAGAGAGAAGAATCTGCGGTTGTTTATTAACTTGAGTACTCCATTGTGATGCAACTCATTCGAGTCACAAGACATATATACTCTATTATGATACACGAGGATTACAGTGTTTTGCCTTCCTTATGTTGCGCGCCCGCTTCCGCCGAACGGATCGTTCATGTTAAAATGAGCGCGCACGTATGTTTATTCGCGCGCACGTGCTGATCTGAACAAACTTTATTTCATATCATTATTAAGAAACTGTTTACACCATTAAAATATTCAAAACCCCTAAAAGAAATCAAGTCATCCTAAAATGGTGATCAGTACAGATCAAGACAGCTAGAGTTAAAATTTGTTTCTCCAAGCAACTCTATCATCGGCTAATATCTTAAGCTTATTAAGATCATTCAAAGAGTTAAGTTTTAAACCTCTACGGGTCAAATCATTCACAATAATCTTGAACAAATTCTTACGATGCGCACCGACGCGCCCTTTACAGTTTGTTGTGACAGCAAACTTTAACGCTAATGCAGCGGGGGAGTCATCAGCACTACGCAAGATATGACCTAGGAGCTTCCACCTTGCTTTAGGGACACGATCTGATAGCTTAACTGAGTTACATCTTAGGTATAAGTTTGCATTGGATATTGTTCCATGAGGCCAATAAATGTTCAGTAATGATCTATCATCTAAGGTGTTTTCTATGGCAAATGTCTAGTTTTTCTAGTGACTTTGCAGTAGGACACCAACTACTGCAATTGTACATGATGATTGATACAATTTGGGCTTCGTATACTGCTATCTTTCTGGTAACGGAGATATTCTGCTGAGACCAGATCTTGGTGAACTTATAGAAGGCATTGTTCCCAGCAATGCAGCGAGCAGCTATATCACTTTCACTACACAACAATGACCCAAGAATCTTACTCTTCCGCCAATCTTCATTTCCACGTAACATGGTATCATCACGACCAGGGATTGTTTCTCCAACAGGAGCGAGGAAAACATGGGTAAATTCTGTTTTCTCTGTGTTAATGAACAGGTTAAACTCCTTGAAGACTTCCTTAGCTATTGGTAGGATAGCTTCTAAGGATTCTTTTTCCACGTTCATGAAGTTACAGTCATCTGAATACGCTGACTCCAGTGGCATACCTTCTTTTGAAATAGGGGGATTGGGTATGTGTGGGGGAGACTCTGCTAGTCGATGGCGTAGTTCTATAAGAGCTCCTGCTAGGACAAGAGTGAAAAGCTTGCCGGAGAGACTGTCACCTTGAAAGGACCCAAGAAGACTCTCGAATACAGCAGATAGTTCTCCTTCCACTCTGACCTTGAGCATGGTGTTGGTTAAGAGGAGTCTTACTAGCCTGAGGTCGTCGTCTGTGCATCCAGCTTTGACAAGAAGGTCAAGTATAGTCTGGCGTTTGATTGTGTCAAATGCTCGAGACATATCTATGCCCATCTTGTGATACTGGAAGTGTTTACGCGTGACAACCGATATCAACATCCGCTCAGCCCACACTAGATCACCACAACTTCTACCATGTTTGTACCCCGCCTGCGTGCTACCAGTGAAAGCATCAACTTTGTCTTCAATTCTCTTCAGTACAATCATGGATAATATCTTACGAGCACCATTTGATAGACATAGAGGTCGTAGACTAGTGACAGGACCAGCTGGTTTGCGAGGTTTCGGTAAGGGGGTGATGATGGCTTCACCTATAACATCAGGAAATGAATTGGTCTCCAATGCGCTATTGATGATCTCGGCATATTTTGACCAGAATTTTGTACCAGCATTTTTCAACCACTCGTTGTAGACTTTATCTGGACCAGTGGCTTTGTTGTTCTTGAGAGATTGGGCGGCTTTCTTTACTTCATCACATGTGATGGGTATGTCTAGGCAGCGTCCATCCCCTATAAATGCTTGAAGTGGTTCATCCTCACACGTGAACTGCTTTTCGTAGTAGTCTCTGATCACTTGAGCTTTACCAGCATCTGTGGCAACAAAGTTACCTTCTTCATTGTGGACACTGATAGTAGATTTGGGCTTAGTGTCAGCTAGAGTACGCACAGCTTCAAACATCTGCCTTGTGTCATCTGTTGACATGATGGTTCGAGCGATGTCATCGGCACGTGTGTCAGCAAGGTTCTTGAGATGCTTACGGATGTCTTTCTGTAACCTGTTGATCCTTGTACGGACTTGAGTTCTGTCAGCAACTTGGTTGTTACAGTTAAGTGCAGCTTGCAGGGTTTGTCTCTCTTTTACAAGGGCTTCAACAGTTGAGTCACTACTGAAGTTACGGTTTCTGGAGCGTGGTAGTGTCCCGATTACTTCATCAGCAGTTGTCTTAAGGACATCCATCAGGTTAGTGAGATCATCATTAGGGTTTGATGTTACCTGAGAGTTGTTGACTTTCTGTTCGACTGAAAGTTGGTATTTGACTTTGGTGGGAAGGTCAGTGGTGAGCAGGGAGTTGTTATATCTCTTAACTACTGAACTTATCTTTTTTGTAGGAAAGATTTTGTAGTAGGGGGCTAGTTTGATCTTACAAGCAACGAGTCTGTGGTCTGAGTTAGTAGCAAGACCGCCATATGCTCTACAATCTTGGAACATGAATCTGCTGCGTGTTCTGCACAGAATATAATCTAATTGGGCAAAGACTGGACGAGTAAGTTTGCTACCTTTAGGGCGACCTTTGGCAGAAATACACATAGAGAAAGTAGTTCGATGTCTACAAGGATGATCAAAATAGGTATTGGTAGCAAACAGTTTGTTTAAGCACATGAAGTTTAATAAATGTTCACCGTTGAAATTCCTTGTACCCATTCCAAACTTGCCCATATACTCTGTTACACCATACTGATAGTCCAAAGGAGATAAGGTTCCCAACTTACTGTTGAGATCACCACAAACAAACAATTCATGAGATGCAGGAACTGAAATAGCATGGGTGAGTTCTCTGTAGAACTTTCTAAGAAGGGCAGGGTTTCCTTCTGCTTTAGGATTAGTCGGGCCATAACCGTTAACAATTCTGATATTTTTAGGATGGGATGAGAGATTAGAAGGAATGACGACATTAAGATAGGAAACCCGGTCTGAGGTATACTGATAGTCTGTGACATAAGGTAGTAATCTAGGACTTATGATGAAACCTAGTCCACCATGTCGTCCTTGATTTTGCTCCATCATGATCAATTTGTAATTGTTTCTGAGATATCTAGTGGAATGATTTTTGACTTTTGTCTCTTGAACGCACAAGATATCAACACTATATTCAAAACAATCCGTTCCGAGTTCTTCCTGTTTCTCCGTCTTAGAGAGCCCTTTTGCATTCAGTGATGCTAGGCTCAGTAAGGAAGTAGAAGAAAACTTTGAACTCATAACTGTCTCTTTCTGCTTTAACGTCTGCTTCGTCACACCAGTTTTCGCTGATGCTTGTGTCACGCGTCACCGTGTCATACCACGCGTCACCGTGTCATACCACCTTCATTTCATATCATGAATTCCAGAATCCAATAACCCATGGAGACGGTGAACCCTTTAACTGATTTGCTTGATGTCTTGTAGAAGGAGTTAATGTTATTCAGTCCGAGGAGTCTCAATCATCCCGTTTTAAGATGGCGTTTCTTTTCTATCATTATATAATACGACAAGTTGATCTTGGTGCTCGATGAATCAAAGAGAAAGTGATAGAAACTACCATAGCGTACCTTTATTTAACATTTTACGTTTCAGAGAACCACTGGCCGGTTCCAGCCAATCAGCAAGCTAAGAAAACGGGAGAACGCACTTAGCTGTAAGACTCTGAAAGATTGTGGCAACGGCAGTTTCTGTCCTAAAGATTTGGAATGTTTGAACCTGTTCAAACTTTGCTACAGTACTCGACGAGAGGTATGATACACATTTTTGTTTTCTTTGATAGCACAACTGCTGCTGCAGCGATACAATCTGCGTTTTAAGTAATAATTTATCGGCTTGCTGTGAGGGCAGCATTAAATTCACGGTTCCAGTCTGATGAAATTCAAGGGCTGGATTAAAGCATCACGAGGCAGATTCACCATTGTTATCCTACTTCATGACATGAAGTGGAGTAAACATGAAGTTCATGTTTACTCCATTTTTTGTCATGAGCTTTCTAACAAAATGTTGAATGAGTGCTGTGTCTCGAAGGTGCACAATGTTGTTCTTCGCTTTTGATCACGCTCAAATGGCGTGAACACAGAACAAATCTTTTGGGGTATGCTTTTAAAGCCTGGTTATAAATATTATAATTTTGTTCATTTATCTACTGCAACTAGTGATAATGACTTCGTTTTCACTGTATGACACTACTAATTCCAATTAATCTCAGGTTCACCAAAATATGATTGACGACTGCGAATGAATTCTTGTGGAGTGATACGAAGAGTTTGATGCTTTTTCAATTATCAGTCAGAGACACGATCTTCGTAATTGGCTGGTTTATCTTTTAAGTCAAACTTTCATTTTTCGGAGAAAGTTTTTATTAGTTCAGAATAATATCAAATTCAACATTTTTGAATGTCTTGAATCAGATTTAAAACACATTGGTTGTTTTCAGTTTAATGTAATGTTTTTGCGATAGTAATTTATTCTTGACGATTGAAAAGTCCAAAACTTTGATCAATTTTTACGTTTTCTAATGGATTTTATTATCATTTTATTTTTTATGTATTTGCAGTGCGAATGGTTAATTGATTTAATTATTTAAAACTGGGTTTCTCTCTTCTTGGTAAATGCATCATAGTAAACTAATGAAAGGATTTAAAGCTTTTAGCAGTTTACAAATCTCTAATTCGAAATTGAATTACCTTTTTTGTTTTCGGGCGGAGTCAGTACCGAAGCCCCAATTTGATTGGTAAAAACGTGCAATGCGTTGACCAAAGAAGGAAACTAGATACTGTCTACGTATGCCCCATCACGTGGCAGTTATCCCTGTGTTGACCTCAACACCAAGCCTTACTCATACACGCACAATATTAAATTTGCTTATCTCTTATTGACTGACTGCAATTTAAGGAGTGTACAGGATGGTCATTGCTTGGGTTAGGTTGCTAAATGCTAATCCTACTGCCGACGCGCAGCTCTCGGAGCACTGCTTTCCTACTACACTCGGTGCTGAAAAATGTACTTTACATATTACTTTTGTATAACGTCTTCCAACTAAAGTAATATATTGGGGTTTCGTTTCGTGACTGATTGTGGCAATTATGAAAGGGTTAGTTTGCGTGCGCGAGTAAGACTAGAAAATTCAGGTGAATTCCCTCAGAGTTCAAGGATCAAGCACTGCCACAGAATTAAATGAAGCTATCGATTGAATTTTAAATCATCAAATATTAAATCAACATGATTTTATGGAATACGGAGGTAATAATTTACTAGTTACTGAACTAAATTTGCATAAATCGGCTGGCAGCACAATTTAAATAAAGACCATAATCTAATCGAAATAATTTAACTATTTTCCATCACATTTGCAACAACGAATAAAAACAGGCACCGGAACTAATTCATTATTTAATTGACACCAAAATGTAATAAAATATTTACCACACCAAAAACACTGGTTTTAGTAATAACACTCATGTAACAGTTAAATAATCCACATCGAGACTTAAGTTAAATCATTAAATATTCCAATATTCCAATATGTAAGCATATCCTAGAGTCATATCTATATAAACACCTTACATGGGGTCGCCTGTGAATCGCATTAATTATCTCCTACAAAAGCTGAACAGTTTACCAAATGAAACTGATAACATGAATAATGTAAGAAAATTAGATCAGTCATTCGCATTTTCCACGACGATAAACTTCTAGAATGTCTCGAATGTAGTCGGTAACGAGGCACCCATAAAAGTTACAGCATAATGCGTACATGGTAATTAGGAACGTGACCTCAAACGAAAATTACCCGTAATTCAGGTAATATTACATCTCCGTGGCTAAACTGAAAATGGATGACAGCCAAAATATTTGACGACAGCAACATTAGAAGCTTCTACGTTATTCTTCTTAGCAGTACGCTTGTATTAACAGTTAATACAAGCTTACATTGTACACGTATTGGAATATAATAGTTGAGTAACATTTTATAGTTAATTTATAGCACATAATGCTTTCTAGTAATGACTTTAATGAAATAAAAGGCATTGACGTCAATCGAATAATTCGATGAGTGATGAAACAGATTTCCGGGGCTGTAGCTTTGTGTTGGCAGGATAGAAATTCCTGGAGTAATTCCCAAATATGTAAGGAAAGAGCAAGAAGCAAATAAGATATAGAAGTGTAACTGCCAACTGGGGGAGACGTGTCAGTGGTTTGGGGCTCAAATCTGCGTGTTCGATTTTAGAATTTGAAATATGCACAAATTCTAAAATCTCTTTTACTAGGGTGTCATAATATTCAACATAATCTCTGCATATTCCCTTCCTGTTATCTTAGGGAAGAGTTAAGTTTAGCACTCCGAATTAGGTTAAACATTTTAGATTATCCCACTTCAATTTTCTTGAGAAAAGTTTAGGTAACTTCAGCATATAATGAACAGTTTAATTTTTCATGGCTTTGAATTATTCAATATTCATGAACTTTATCTGCATGATAATGCAAATTGAAATTATCACCCATAAAAATTCAAGACGTGGTAATGTCAAGTTTACAAACATTAAATCCAAAGTGGCAACTACAAATTAACATCTAAAATTTGATACAGAGTCCCACTTCTTCAACTGTGGTTTTCTTTAGTTTGGGGCATGTATATTTGATCGGGTTCTGAAGGAACAATCATGCTTTCTTTACAAAGCAGAATATTTTGAAGCTTTTCAAAAAGTGCGCTCTTTCCGGGATGGACTTAATTAGATCTTGTGTAGAAAATGAATAGCCCCATTCGATTTTTAAAAGCCAAATAGTTTAGAAACCACAAATCCCATAATAATAGAGTTCGTTGTTTTTGAAACACGGTAAAATTACAGCCACACATAAATACTCTGGTGAAAATAAATTCCAAGGATATTATATAAGTTAATAAAATCTATTATTAGAAAACTACCTATTAATAGCACACTACACAGAACATCACACTATAGCACTATAGCACTATAGCACTATAGCACTATAGCACTATAGCACTATAGCACTATAGCACTATAGCACTATAGCACTATAGCACTATAGCACTATAGCACTATAGCACTACATCACACTACGATATAACGTGGTCCAATAAAACGGTTCGTGATCGGATTCGGGCGATTTCCCTTTACAATTAAAATCTCCTATTAGCTGCAGCTCAATCACCGTGGAAATTCAAAAATATAGAAATACACGACGCTTAACAAGCTCATGTTTTCATATTATTGTGTTTCCGTATTGTTATGGTTGCAGTGTAACTAGATTAACACAACATGAGATATAAGTTTTTGTGGGTAATAGCAGCTCTCCTTTAGGTTGGTGCTACCTATCTATGAGTCTTTACTCTTTTCTGTGTTGGAATCCGCTTCTTTGGAATCAGGTCTGCCAGTGAAATACTGCATCACATCGAAAGTTCCCGAGAACTTGTTTATCTGTGGGATATTTTTAAAAGTTAGTTATTAATTAATAATAATAATTAGTTATTAACATTCTAAGCTCGATCTTACTTTTTTGGAAAGACTACGCCTCGGATATTAGCGACGTATGATTGTATCGCTTGTACCAGTATGTAGTTATTTTTTATCGTAAGTATAACCAAAAATGTGGAGGCTTCTAGAATATGACGTCAGTAAAAATAATTTATTGTAGGGGGCTATAATATGCAGTTTTGCGTAATGTCTCTGATAAGGTGCTCACTACCCGGTAAATGTGCGATTCAGCAATATTTTATCTTAAATTTGAAATTTAACCCGAAATTCTAGTCAGCTTCGAAATCAAATACTTCGAAGTATACCTTACGAGACAAATTTAATTAAAAGGTACGTAAGTTCCATTTGCCACGGCGGTGAAATTTCGGGAGTGGTGGAGGATAACAAATACCGGCGATCTCTCATTCCGTCTGGAGGATTAGAAGTCAAGTTAAAACTAACTTTCGCCGGCGAAACTGTTTATAAGATGAAACAGCTTGTTACTTTGTTAGAGGTGCCTACACCTGGGACTACACTGGAGAGGAAAAAAAGATCAAAAAGAAATTGACTTGTAATTTTTCAAATTTTATTTTATTGATTTTCTCAAATATTGGGCTTTATTTTTGTGAAATAAAGAAATGAAAAAATTGCCCAAATACCATGATTTAATTTGGGGTACGAAATGCGGTGGTTTTCGGCAAACAATCCCATATTTTCGTTCCCAAATCATTCAGGTCGAACAGGAATTATGTTCAATATAATTATATGTCTCGTAAGACGTAAGGTAGATACCCTAGATATTAAGATATCAGTTTTCTTAGAATTTCTTGTTGACGCTGGTTGTAGTGAAGATGACATATTTTTGATTCGAATAAAGTTATATAATTATAACATATTATATTGTACAATAATCCCCAACAATAACTTGTATGTCAGGGTCAGGGTCAGGGTCAGGGTCAGGATCAGGGTCAGGGTCAGGGTCAGGATCAGGGTCAGGGTCAGGGTCAGGGTCAGGGTCAGGGTCAGGGTCAGGGTCAGGGTCAGGGTCAGGGTCAGGGTCAGGGTCAGGGTCAGGGTCAGGGTCAGGGTCAGGGTCAGGGTCAGGGTCAGGGTCAGGGTCAGGGTCAGGGTCAGGGTCAGGGTCAGGGTCAGGGTCAGGGTCAGGGTCAGGGTCAGGGTCAGGGTCAGGGTCAGGGTCAGGGTCAGGGTCAGTGTCAGGGTCAGGAATGTTCTGGTGCAGCACGATGGGAACACCTTGCAGTACTCAGAGCGATTTGTTAGACTTACATATTTTTATTAATCGGTACTTTTATAGACAATTAAATTCACAACTAATCAATATTATATATTAACATATTAGTTTCTTAAGAAAAGATTAGAAACAAGCGTTGTTCACTTGTAACAATCTGTTATTTAAAAACATTTATTTTTACATAATTAAACTATTGAACTCCTCAGTAATCTATGTTCATTTTATTCGTGCGTCTGGTTCACATCACTCGATGATGACTACATCAGCTCTACATCGCTGCGTAACACAACACAATAATATAAAGATACACTACAAACACACGTGATTACTACATTATTACCCCCGCATTTAATTACTACAAATGTAACAGTGATTTGTTTAAACTGGCTGCACGTTGTCTTAGACCATTATCCAGCATGCTTCAACAATACGCATTAGCTATGATATAATATGTAGCTAAACGCGACACGTTTAAATTTGCCAAACTATTATCTCATTAATTAATTACCTTATTTTATAAATTTGAGGTATTGTCTATTTTAATTGCTCCCATTTCTACATCATAATATTATCCTGTTTTCTTTTCTGATATTTATAAACCAGACTAAGACACTCTCAAACAAGCTCCTTGATTCTTGGTTACCAATCGGAAGATAACTGTTAACGAATGCTTACAATTTCGCCAACATATTTTATCCTCACAAAATACTCATATTAGACCATAGCAGCAGGGGCACCTGTTGAAAGTTCAAGAAACTTCCTAGGATACCCCTTCAGTGCATAGTGTAAAGATAGTACTATTAACTGTTAACCACAGCAACACAATACGTGATAAGGCAATTGTTAGGGTTTTGGAGTATTTGTTCCAACTATAACACAGCCGCGAAATTGCGAAAACCTGGCTTCAAAATGTAGAGCTTCTAGCTTTCAATTCATTTCATAATTTAACTGAGTAACTGTTATCTTGAAATTTTAGTCCAGCCGTGGTATTTTTATAGTCAGTACTTCAGTACTATTCAAGTTGGTAATGATCCCCCCCCCCCCCCCCCCCCCCTAATGATGCAACCACTATTTAACTCAGCTGACAGTTGTAATTATCAATAGACATATTTTCAAACAATAGCGTTGTGATGGGACAAAACTCCAAGTATTTCATTAAACATTCCAATAATCCAGTATATTATATTTAGGCTGGATTCAGATATGATGGTATTTATCAAAAAGTAAAATGTAAGCGCTTAATGAGTCCAACATTTCTTAAAAATTTCCATTATACAAAACCATTTTAGTATCGGAAATAGTATACCACGTGTGTGTATGTACTCATAATTAGGAACAGTGTCAACATGACACAGCAGCCCACGTACACGCTAATTAGTACACGCTAATTAGTACACGCTAATTAGTACACGCTAAATAGTACACGCTAATTAGTACACGCTAATTAGTACACGCTAATTAGTACACGCTAATTAGTACACGCTAATTGCTTCTAATTACTGCAGCCTTATAATTACAGCCTGTGGATGCTTTATGTGTGGGCATCCAGCACGTTATAGTAAGTTACCAATGGGACCAAAAGAATGGGACTGCACAATTATACACAATGCTCACTGCTTAACTTAACACTATGTCGTTATTACAGTTTAACCGCACTTTTTGGCGGGAAGCTCTAGACATGGTGATAAAAAGTGGGTTCTATGGAATTAAACAGCTGTTTTTTAGAAGGCAAGTTATTTTCCCATAAATATTTTGTGTTATGTGCCCCTTATCTTCGTTATTCATTAGCCCCATGCTATGACGACGCATAATATTTATGTAAGATTATATAATATGTAATATCAATGTAGATCGAAGACGTACATATTTCATACCAAGTGCATTGAGGTAATGCCACAATGAGGCCATTTTGTAACTTTGAAATTAAAAAACCTGATTTTTTGCTAAAGTAACAAACAATGAAGTAGACCAGATAAGCGAGCGGCTTGAAGGCTAACGTATAATATTACGGTCATTTTTTCAACATACAGTAGGAGCTAGAATTTAAAAAATGCTCAAAGTAGCTCAATATCTTTGCAGAATTCCTCGTGATATTACAATCTTATTTGAGGGTAACATTTTTTATTGTATTTTTTGGGAGACAATGGAAGGAGCGATGGACATTCCTATAGTTCATCACATGATATTTTGAGCTCAACATGTGAGTGTGAAATTTTGAGATCGAAATTTCTTGAAAAAATTATCATCTGGTAGTGTTTCAGAGCATGGTGACAACCGAACCACTGCACTGTGAGGAACTGAGAATTGTTTGACTAAGTTATTGCGCAATCTAATTTTGATTTTGTCGAACTTCTCTGGAATAAGAAATAAATCAATGCATATAAATTATGTCTTTCACCGAAAATGCCGCCAATGGTATTCTTTATTCGGGGCATTGTTTTAAATCTAGCGTTTTCCAGAAGCAAAAAATCCGAAAAAGTGCTACACAAATTTTGGACCAAATTTCATAGCTTCAGCGATCTATGCTTTATAAATTCCCTAAATTTTTGATTGAAGAATGAATTTCAGAATTTCTAAATCTTAAAACATTACACTTACGTGGTAGGAGAGTCTGTCTGGGCAGAAAGCTTTGGTTAGCATAAGATAGTAGAATATTCTGGGCATTACAACAATAACACGATTCTGCTCCACCGCTTCTATTATCTGAGAGAGAGATGAAAATGTCAGATCATGAAATTATTAAACAAATTCTTGATAAATAGCCAAATGGAAGTGCAACTTACCCCGGGCCAAGTAGCAGCCGGGCTTGTAAAGTCTGGACTACTATAGCCAAACGGTGATGTTATGATGTAATAATATAGAATACCAAATATCCGGCAAGTAACTAAATCAGCTATTTCCATCAGAGTTTCCGGGTTATATTATAATATTACTAGAAAGCCCGTGGTCACAGGGAGGAAGCTAATAGTATTCTTTCGTAGTCAGTTTTTACAGTATCAACAAATATCCATCACAACCGAAGAAACAGCCAATTAAACTATAACTCGCACTGAACACCACGTAATAACAAAAAACCGATCAAAATGCCCCTCTCAAATCCTTGCACGTGCAACTTGCAAGTGCACTTTTAACCCTCGTTACCATGGTTACTATGCAACTTCCTATTTCTCGTCTAATTTGCACGTGGGCGGTCGTACAGCAGAAAGAATCTTTTGAATTATAGTAGAGATAATATTATAATATTATAATATTATAATATTATAATATTATAATATTATAATATTATAATATTATAATATTATAATATAATACACCATGATATTGAGGATACCACCAGAATTGCAAGATCCGAGAAATAGGAATTGTAGAATATTTTCCACAACAAATTATAATAGATAATAGATAATAGATAATAGATAATAGATAATAGATAATAGATAATATCAACATACCTTGTCTCCTACCCATCCAGTTTCTAACATTGGCATGAAATAAGGCCATTTGCTCACCACTCCCTCGAACATACCAGTCTTTATAAAGTAAGGATTTACCATCGTGAACTCTATCGGCAAATTCTGAAGGTAATATTACACTTGTTAACAAACCATGCTGTTTTGCATAAAATCGGATTTTTTAAAATTAATTAAAATGAAAATGGATTATTCAGAAGATGTTTTATTATTTTATAAGCGATAGAAAAACAGAAACAAATCAGAACTTGGCGAAACCCAAGTATTTTCGCTGGAGGTGTCTCAAGAAAAAGATAAAATTCACATACCTCTGCCATAATCTCAAATCTAAGAGCCTCGACAAGGCCCATTACAGCGAACTTGCTGCAACTGTAATCCACCAGCTTTATCGAGCCAAACAGTCCTGCTACTGAGCTAATCGTGGTCACGTGTCCGTACCCTGAAGATAATGTTTATAAACATTATGACAGATCTATAAATAGATCTGTCACGTGTCAAACAAATATCAAGATCTGTATGTGAGAGTATAATGTCAGACTGATTGGCCAACCAAGCGGTCACTGACATTGGGTCCAAACTTTGGAACATCAATCTCGTTGATCTGGGGATCTATTACATTTCAGACTTCTTATCAAACGACCACAGTACCTTAATCGACTATTGTAACATCATCATGGGGGGACACGGGGGGGGGGGGGGGGAGACGAGGAGTATCATGGGGGGACACGGGGGTATCATCATGGGGGGGGACACGGGGTTATCATGGGGGGACACGGGGCCGGGGGGGGGGGGACACGGGGGGGGGACACGGGGGGGGGACACGGGGCCGGGGGGGGGGACACGGGGGGGGGGACACAGGGGTATCATCATGGGGGGGGGACACGGGGGTATCATGGGGGGACACGGGTGTATCATCATGGGGGGAAAAATAAAATTCGTGTGTACAGTGTACACTGTACACACGAGTAAAAACCTTTGTCCAACCAGCTTTTTCTGTCAATTCAATGGGTTTTAGATTTAAATAGTCACCCAATAGACGAAGCAGTCGTTTTAAGAAACCTTTTCTACACAGCCTCAATAAGCTTAAATTTGATACAATTCCAATACAAACTTTTGCTTTCGTGTAGGTGTATTATATAGTTATATTATATGAGACAAAAGGAGATTGTTACGGATACTGTATTGTGTATTGTGTAGTCGTTGTCACACCTACTTAGAAACTATGCCAGGCATATTATATCTGTACACACGCAAATAGTTTCCTTAGTATGCTTGAGGATTTCATCAAAACGGAAAGTTTGACTACATAGATCCTAATTAAATTTTCTTTGTTTGGAATCACAAATTTCATAAACCGTGAACTCCCTCAATATTGTTGCAAAGTGGTATACCGTATATTATCAGCAAACGATTTCAGGAAGGGAAAATTCCTACTTGGGAGGGTTACATCAAATTAATTCAGCTAGTGTGATATGTACATTGCATGGATATGTACATTATGTATGGTGAAATTAACAATGTACTTGGTCAGTTCAGCTCCCGCGCCAATAATTATTTAATTCAGATTATCGCGCAAAATAACCCCGGCACTTTGAGTCATGGATGGGGGAAAAATGTATCACGAATATGACCACGGTTATAACAGGGCACGTGATGTTGGCTAATTCGTACTGATAATCAGAGTATTTCTTGTTAAAATTGTCTAAATCTCATTCCATATTGGCATGCATGTGAGCTGAATTTGGCATTTTTACAATTTTTAATCTATATCTTCTAACGTAACCCGTGATATTGACTATCATATCTTCTTTCCAAACCGATACAGAATTTCCTGCCAAGCAGATGTATTAAAATATATCAACATGTATAAAAATGTAGCATTTATTATCTCATACTAATAGTAATAATCAGTAATACACACTACACGTGGACACAATCAGCCAAAATTGAAGATTTTCATGATAATAAAAGGTTTGGTTGATCAGTTGTGTACGTTGTCAGTTCAATTGATATGCACCAGGCCCCAGTATTGCACGACTGTTTGCATTTTTGTTCTATTAACTTATTCTGTACACTAACCAAAGTACTATTGAAGGTACTGTTTGAAGGTTCTAGATGTTAAATGAAGTATGAAAAGAATGTCTATTTTAATAAGAAGGTTTGGTTTATGTGGTTTATTACAAAGTAGCTACTTATGAGTTATGTCTGTAACAGTCAGCACCTACTATTTAAAGTGTCTGTCTAGCGGCCCAGATATTTTGGAGTGTTGTGTTAATAGCATAATCTCCAGAAGACAAGGCCTGGTACCAAGACAAAGCCTGGTACCTGGAGGTATTAACTCCGAGGAACTACAACCTCCAGGGACTATGTGTACGTGACTACGTGTCGTGTATAATAATGGTACACATCACAACATACTGTACATGTCGTTATGCCTGCTATATAATGTAGTGGTGACTGGTGGGAGCATTTTGTATGGGTAATTCAGTAGTTACATTCAATTGATCGCTAGATATTATCAGTAGCTCTCATTAACCAAGTAGGTACTTACCAAGTAGTAAGTACTTACCAAGTTTAGTGGGTACTTACCAAGTACTTACCAAGAAGTAGCTACTTACCATGATATTGTATAGATTATTACGGATTACCAAGAAGTTATGTATGTACTTACCAAGCTCTCTCATGTCTTCTAGGAAAGTCTGGGTCACCCAGAAAACAGCCAACACGTTCACATCCATCGTCCTAAACAAAATATATTATCAGTAATGCAGAAAATATTAAATATATAACAACAAATTCCGGCCAATCCCGGATCATAACTAAACCCGACCTGCTACCTTACTCCTAACAATTAACATACACTGAGCCAAAACCTACTTAACTTTAGTGACACTAGAAAATCAGTTTTCAAATTAGAAATAAAAAACAGGAAATACTTACAGTCAAATTAGAAATAAAAAACAGGAAATACCTACAGTAAGTAATACTTACAGTTTGATGTCAGCAGGTGTGAGGTCTCGGAAGAGTTTACCAGAAACCACGCCAGCAACGTTGAACACGTACGACACTTTTCCTACATCCGCTAAAGTCTGAAAGGCATACAAATTCATTGAACTGAATTTTTTAAATATCACATTTAATTAAAACGGTAATCACACTGTATATCGACATACACAGTATCTCGACAATTATACCTAATCTTATTCGACTTTCTGCCTTAATTTTATGTAGAGCTATTATACACTTATTTTAAGATTTAAAGTAATGATATATGTTAAATGTACACATTACACAATAATATCATCAATGTATAGATTCAAACAAGATTGCTAATACAACTGAGGTAATCTAATTAAAACATGTAAAACATGTTGGACAGATTTTTATCTAACTTAATGAAAATGGTAATTTAAGTAATCATTTTTCGCGCATGAATTCGATTTTTAATTGAGGGTAATTGGAAAAAACACCATACCACAAAAACCTGATTTTTAACATTTCAACACTGTAATTACAAATGAATAGTAACAATAACCTGCTCATGAAGTTTGACGACATTTTCATGGTCAGCCACGTTACAGCAGTACCCATGTGCACGTCCCCCAGACTGCACTATTTCGCGCACTGCGGGGATATTATCTTATCTATTACTATAATTACTATTAATTATATTATATTAATATGGTGCATCCTTGTAATACTATTGGTGGATAATATTAAGTTTCTGAGCAACTAATTTTTACAGAACTGGGAGTTATAATTATATATATCGAGACATTATCAAGCAGATCAATAATTATTAATTAATATATGCATACTCTATAGAAATAGCAGCAGTTGAAATCCAGGATATGGTAATATTGGTGTATGGGCAAAAGTGCAAAAGTGCAAAAGTGCAAAAGTTCAAAAGTCTACCTGTCTGTTTATTCGCCTCATCGTTGATATCAATACAGATTATCGTGTTCCCCATTGCAGCCAACTTGATAGCTAAATCTTTACCAATACCACTACCTGTACAAAGAGCTAAGTTAATAATCAGTTTCAAATTCAAGCTTTTGGGGGTAAGAACTGCCTTATGTTATCTTGTTTGTTATCTTGGTTGTTCTCTCGAAGAGACTCAAAACCTAGACCAAATTCCACCACATAATTGGAGATGAGGTGCTGGTTCATAGATAAGCAGAGGGTAGGCCGGGGTAGGACGATAATCACTATCATATCATATTTAATAAATTTTCCTGGTTCCCATAGAGAAATTCTTATCAGCTGATTTGCCTCCAAAAATGCAGAGCAATTTTAATGAACTGATAACATTTACCATTTACCGTCTCTTCTTTATTCAAATTCCTATAATCAGTCCTTAGTACGTTTTGGAGCTTTGTTTTCTTTCGAAACCATTCACCATTATATTTTAGGTTTCTCGCTTCTACAGAAATTATGTTCACAAAACAGTTGTTGTTGACGTTGTTCTTGTGTCACTGCTCTGCAGTAACTCACGATCAGGAGAGACGCCTCCCACCCTCAAGTGACCATGCGATAACCGAGATGAGACTCAACTTCAAGGAGGAGATGCTCAATTTGAGGGAAGAGGTCAGGAATAATTTACCTATTTTTTATGGTTTTAGAGTGAAAAATTTAAATTTCACCTAGAATTTATAACAGGAATTAACTAAAATGTAAAAAGTTTATCGAATTTCTGTAATTAAAGATAGCGTAGCCTAGTATAGCTCCTTTAAATACAATATAATATATTATATAATAAATATCATAATCAGGTACAAGATATATTGGGAGGTTCTGAAAGATCACTTTTTTGGATGATCAGGGAATTAATTGACGAAGTCAGAGAATATAAGGCCGAGGTAGTACAGCAAGACAAAGTGGTGGAACAACTTAAATCAGACCTGACCACAGCTCTATACAAACTGGATGAAGTCAAGGAAAACCAGGTGATGCTGAAAAAGGGATATGATGTGGTACGATCGGAAGTCAGGCTAATATCTCAACACAAGCTGTGCTGGCAAAACACCACTGACAGTTACAGAACAGCCGACTTCAGGCTAATATCTCAGCACAAGCTGAGCTGGCAAAACACCACTGCCAGTTACAGAACAGCCGACTTCTTAGTGGACGGGGTTTACACCACGACAACAGACGAAACCCTCAACCCAATACAACACAACTCAGTTGGAGTAAACCAGATAGTCTCTATCGATCTGGGCGGTTTCTTCAAAATACACACCGTTAAGATCTGGAACAGACTGTCTTGCTGCCAGGAGCGAGGCTCGGGTCTCATAGTCTCCGCAGACCGGGTTACTATAGGTGTTACGTCAGGGTCACGTGATTTGTACAGCGTCGTGGCCGAAACTGAGGTGTACGCCAGAACGATCATTATTAGACAACCAAATGAGGTACACATCAACCTTCGTGAGGTTCAGGTGTTTGGTTCTGGTCCTTATGGTCAGGAGGAATTTGTTTAGAACTTTAGAAGTGAGGGGGATACATACAAGAACTAAATCTAAACATTAGACTATTGAGAACGAAGTAAGAAACGATTCATCTAGGCATTATTTTCTTGAAACCTGGTTTTGCATTGATTTAAGTAATATGTGAGTTAACAGAAATTCCATTATAACAGTTTTATTGTACAAGATTAAAACAGTTAATTGGCATATGATTTTAAGTCACAATATAGGTTAACATTCTAAGTTAATTTATTTTTTACCGCCACGTTTTATGTTAAAGAAAATCTTGTGGTAATTCCTCTGATAGCCAGATAATAGCCAAAAAGTTTGATCACTTATATCATCTATCTTATTCCATTTGTTATAATTATCATCTATCTTATTCCATTTGTTATAATTATCATCTATCTTATTCCATTTGTTATAATTATCATCTATCTTATTCCATTTGTTATAATTATCATCTATCTTATTCCATTTGTTATAATTATCATCTATCTTATTCCATTTGTTATAATTATCATCTATCTTATTCCATTTGTTATAATTATCATCTATCTTATTCCATTTGTTATAATTATCATCTATCTTATTCCATTTGTTATAATTATCATCTATCTTATTCCATTTGTTATAATTATCATCTATCTTATTCCATTTGTTATAATTATCATCTATCTTATTCCATTTGTTATAATTATCATCTATCTTATTCCATTTGTTATAATTATCATCTATCTTATTCCATTTGTTATAATTATCATCTATCTTATTCCATTTGTTATAATTATCATCTATCTTATTCCATTTGTTATAATTATCGTCGTGTTTCCATAATTCTTTATAAATTATCGTCGTGTTTCATTTTGATCAAATTAGCTGTGCAGGATTGGTAGAAATATAATATAATATTATTAGCTGTGCAGGATTGGTAAAAATATGATATAATATTATCAAACACAACCTAACAACAATGATAAAAGTGTTTTAGTAAACAACAACATATCGCAAATATACACTTAACTATACCATTTAGTTCACAACAATCATTAGATAAAGGAATCTATAAAATGCAGATATAAAATAACTTGAATAAAACTAACCTGTTCCAGTTATGAGAATGTTCTCATTACAGATAACTTTACTGTTTCTGTTGACAAACAGATAAGCAAACGCCCAGAACCACTCGTAGATACCGACCTTGTAAAGCGTGAACACATCCTTTATAAAGGTGACACATGCCGCTATAAAACTTTTCACACACATACCTTGAGGGAAATTGTGGAATTTAGAGTCAATTAATTAAGTTAAGTAATTAGAATCTTTTTAATTTTTAATTTAATAAGGTTAGTGAAAATATCTGTTACTCTGTTATGATGATTTTGTGATTTAACTGTACGATTTACATGTTTATCAATTGGGATGGCAATTAATTTGCCACAGTATTAAATTACAAAAAGTTTGATTTTTATGAAGCGAAGGAAACGATAATAAGATATAAGCTGAACTATTATTTACAAATAAATTAAATATTTTATGATTATATCCTAACATTGAACACAATTAATGAAAAATATGTATATGAATCTGACGACCCGTCATATCCCTTAAAAGTGATGTACCTGTTCATGTTAGTTACAACTGCCCGGCAGTATCAAATAAAGAAATAATAACCTTATTAAAACCGTTAATTTTATTCATCTGAAACGTCTGACTCTGAATTTTATGTACAATTTTTTGTACATTTAACATAATTTACAATATCTTAAATAGCTAAAAACTGTATTGCCATGATTCCTTTCAAATTTTCAAGATTTAATCAGTCCCAGTGGCCCATCTGCATCAGTAAACATGTACATATTTATCGTGAATGAACTTCAAAGATGTAAATTCTATTGCCGATCGATCTCGATAACTTTATTAGTATCGATAGATACCAAAAGTAAATAACTAAATGACAACAATTTACACTGAACCCTCAATCCTCATACAGCAGATATCTCAAAGAAATCAACAAGCGTTTCAAGCTCGTAGTTATCCAGAACTTCCAGCAACATCGGAACTTTACTCTTCACATTTAGTCCCTTAAACTTGAACTTGTCAATGTAAAGATCTGTAATCATGCCATACAACCTCTCCAGATGACAGGGCTGGAGTTTGAAGGCTGCTTGAAGCTTATCTGCGTTCAGTATAATGTCCTTGTACTCCGGGGAGAGAAAGTCCAAGTTTGGTTCGTGCATGGAAAGTTCCTTCAAAGCATCAATCAGTTGAACTTTCTTAGCAAGGAGAAGCTGCTCGTCTAACTTAGGATGTATTAGTCTAAGTGAATGGGGGATTGACTCTTCATTCAGCTCGTATGTAATGTTCACAGCAATTTTCCTCTGGGTAGCTAACTTGGTGATGACGTCCTTGAGAATGGAAATAGTGCTGATGTTATCAGATCTGAACTCAACAGCCCCTTGTCTGTAATTACATTCTAACTGAGTGTCCAGGAATGTACTCTGAAAGAACATCGTTATAGACTCCCCAGAAGGACACTTGTCAGGTACCTCAGGGATACAATATCCAATCCAGGAATGCACCTCACCAAGACTGAACTTACCGCTCAGCTTCAAGGTGTTCATGGGACGGTCACTGTCGATAATGTGGGTACGGCGATGAAGAGAAAGAGGTTTGATCTGGTATTGCTTAAGTTGACAAGTCTTTGGTTGGATCCTGGGGGTGATGTACACTTGTAGTGTACCGTATTGTCCCTCTATAGACCGCACTTTTACATCCAGTCTGGTAGTGTTAGCTTGGCATCTGTATGTTGCGAGGAGGTAGTTCTTATCCTCTGGATCACATGCACTGTGGCTGACTACAGCTGAATTCCTTTCCACGTCTAGCAGATCTATGGGCACGTCACATTGCAGCAGAACGTTCTCGATTGGCATCTGAATTTCTATTGATAGCAGATAATTAGCATCGACCGGGTTTAAAGTGAACTTATCATTAACATGGAACTTTACAACCGCACTGATAGCAGAATCCGAACCGGCAGACTTTTGATACTTTTCACGCTCGGCCAGAACTTGTCGCTTGAGATCCTCAATATCTTTCTTCAGATCATCTAGCTTCGTCTTGGCAGAGGGTGATATAATGTTCTGTGCCACGTGAGACTTTACCTGGGATGTCAAACTGATCACGTGCCCAGGGTATGTTGCTACCACTACATCTGCATGTCCAGCAGATGTGATCAGTCCTGCTCCGATTGATGTGATGGATTCTGAAACATTCTTTGAGGTTATCAATTTGGGTTGGCCTTCCGAGATAGAGTAGACTTCGACAGTACCATCATCTCTTGCAATCACCAATTCAGACACCCCATCGTTGTTTACATCATATGTGTCGATTGCAGTGATCCCTCCTAGATTATTTGAGTTTGCTATTTCCCATCTGTGGCAGGGATTGTCTTTATTGACAGTACAGAGACCTATGATCCCATCTTTTGTGCCATATATGAGATTATTGTGTCCGAAGCCACTCATAATATCAAATAAAGCTAGAGTTTCGGGCGAACCTGGAACTTCTGCTTCGTAGAGCAGCTCACTTCCTGATAACACTCTCAGTACCCTGTCCTGACATCCTAAAACTGGGAAAATATCCTTGCCAGTACCAGGAATACCTATCATGTCGTTAATCTTATCACAGGATAAGTAGAAGTGAGTATCCTGGCAATTAGTGTACATGTTGTAGATATACTGGCCCGTTATATGTAGATCAGGTCCTGAAACGAACATAGACTTAATACTGTCACTCAGGTTGGTTTCAAACATCAGGAATTGCTTTCCGCGCTTTGTGAAGCCCCGCACTTCTGATCCGGAGGATACGAATATCTTTTCTTGTAACGATCCCTTTGCTCCTCCCAGCTCCAACCTTTCTACTTTAGGACCAGGCAGAGTTTTGAAGTCTACGACAGTTTCACTGCGCTTCATCTGAAAGCAGGTTAAAACTCCGCTGTGGTCGGCAACCGCAACACGCTGAACCATCTTTTTTGCATTTGGGGGATTTGGAAGGACTTTCATGGACTTCATGGAAGTAGATCCGACGGTCATGAGATCAATACGGGATAGCTGGAACTCCATGATTACGTCCCTATCTGGACAGAAAGGTAGATTAAAAAACGTTTAATAATTCATTAACATCATACGGTAGTTATATAAATTTAAAAGAAATGTCATGAAGATTTTCCACGAACTAACAGGAACGATTGATCAAGGACCTTTTATGATCTAAATGATCCCACAGCTTTCAAATTAGAGCTGAGGCCGGGTAAAATTAAAAGTCTGAAAATAATGAGAAGTAAGAGAATGTGCGAGAGAGTGACATGTCAGATTATATAGTGAGCTGTGAGAGCCGGAAATGAGTGAGAATTGTAAAATGTAAAATACTGATATCGCAATTTGAATTAATCGTTATCGAAATATCAAACAGCTAATGTCCTGAATAGATAAAATCCGGATTGGAATATTATTCATGAGTTGCATAGTTGAAATGTTTTCTTTGGTAAATTTCTATTGATCCCGTTTGATGCGACAAGGAAAAGGCTCTTATCAGGAAAGGAATTATTCAACATGTCAATGTGACATCGTATTCATGATATAAAAATATTTCTATCAAAAATTGAAAACGTAAAAAACATAAATCTGAATCAAAATTAGTGTATAATTATTTTCAATTCTTTTTTTAATATTTCAAAATTCAAATAAACTTTACATCAATGTATTACAGTTATATTTAGAAAAGACCACAATATCTCCTGTGAGGCAAAAACATGGAAAGTGAGAGCTAGAAAATATTCCTGAGACTCAACACTACCAGACTGCAGCTGGAGTGAGAAACATTATGTAAACATCATAGTAAAATTTATTTCGGCTGAACCAAAACACGGTGGTAAAACCATATTAATTACATTGGTGCCGATGATTCAAATTCTGTATTTTATGTAGGGTCGGCCCGACACTACATAAAATACAGAATTTGAATCATTAATAAATAATCAAGAGAACAAATTAAAATGTATACGATACCTTCTTGCTACTACTCCACAGACGTACACAACATATCAACAAAACAACATAATTGTATATTATATTCAATAACCTTTATCCAAAAATGCGATACAAAAAGTCATAAAAAAAATTAGTTCATACGACGACAAACTTTTATAGCAATAACGTACACTCCTAGAACTACTACAAGACTAAATATACTACACATGATTACAAAAGCGTGGAATGCTACAACGGTGAACAAGGTAGATGATGTGAAGTGTGTAGGTATGTATCTAGTGTGACGCGAAATGGCGGGAATGGTACTGACCAATGAGAAGTGCGAAACGTGGGAGCCAAATATGGTTTGATTAAGGAGTAGAAGTAGTGTGTTAAATGCGAGGCGGAAGTGTGCGTGTCCTGAATAGAGATAACAGCTGGGCTTAATAACTCTTGAAATAGAAAACGTAAAATATATGCTACAAAATCGAATGCCCTGAGTGTTGTAGAAATAAAGCGGTTAAAATCCAAATAAAAAACTTACATTATGATTATTCTCATTTTATCATTTTATCGGTCCCAATCAACATTTAAAAAACACGTGACCGTCAATTTTACTTTTCAAAAAGTAGCTGAAGTCCGAAGCTGAACATTTTTATGACATTACGTACACTCTGAGTGTTAAATACGAGAAGGAGCAAAGGTGTAACAAGGCAAAACTTTAAACTCAATATTGACATTCCATTGGAATATAACATCATATTATACAGTTTAACCAAGGCATAACATAATAACCCTACCAAGGCAGTACCAATCACACAGACAGGTATGATTATATCCAAATAGTATATTTCTGCCATATTCTGTTGTTCTGTAACTGCATTCACCAAATAGTCCACATTGCCAAACTCAGCCACTTGCTCCACGTAAAACACGAGGTTCTCCCTCACATTACCCGGCTCATTCTCAACTATATCAGAAGCTTTCTTCATATTCCCATGATATGTTCCATGATCAGTGATCATTGAGGTAACTACTTCTCTAGCTCGATACGGGATATCCTCCTTCATCAAGCTCTCTCCAAATCCTTTGAGCTTGACTAGCTCTGCGTTGATGAATTGGTCAGCAAACTGGGGAATACACAACGCAGGCACATTGTAGAAAATAGTCTCCAACCTACCGTTGTTACCGCAGTGGCTGACGAAAACTTTTACTTTTCCTGATCTTAGGAGATCTTTTTGGGGTGCCCAATCAAGCGGTAAAACAGATTCAGGGAATATTTTATCACAATATTTATCTACTTTAACTATTACTCTTAGATCGAGTTCAATAAGGATGTTTATGAGTTCAGAAAACCAGGGAACATCACTCATCTTTGCATACGATCCAAAAGAGACGTAAATAACATCCTTTCCGACTGACTCCTCTAAAAACTGAACAATTTGAGGGGAGAATTCTATAGGAGCATGTTTACTTTCCAAAAGGTTTGCACACCCGATAGGGATATCATTTGGGGGGCGAAGAAACGGGAAAGTGAACGCAGGATGGTCGTTAGTAAGATACAATTTTACTGAACTTTTAACATCTCGTAAACTGGAGAATCCAAACTTTTCCAAGAAGGGCTGCATAGCTTCAGCCCCTGACTGGATAAAAGGCAAGAATATAAAAGCATCTTTTAACACTGATAGCTTCTCTGTAAATGAAGGAGATCGATGGAATCCGTGATTCAATAGTAAAGAGGGTTGACTGAAAACCAACATTGGCAGGTTGTTATGAAGCAGTGCCAGCTCTATCATGAAACTAGGCTCGTAATTTACAACAGGGACATTTGTAACGGTACCAAGCAATGCCAAACCAGTATTTTCAACCTTCTCCCCTAGAATAACATCAAACTGATTTCTGCTAAACATATCCAAAACTTCCTCCCCTGAGAAAACTCCAGCAGATCTCTTCCAAACCTCTCTCCAAACCTCAATGCAGCTTGGTCCAAACGCTTCCAATGCATAGCCACTGTCACCTTTCATAACATCTGCTATACAATCCTTCCACATCATATCTTCATCTTGACTGTCCCACACCACAATATTGGCAACATGAATATTAGGATATGGGACACACTTGTCCAGTCCTCTTGATACAATGTTTACGAAGGTTATGTTGTGTCCAGAATCTGCTAAGATAAGGGCAAGGTCGTAAAGAGCAGTAAGATGACTTCCACCAAGGAGGGATCCAGCGAAGATGTTGGAAGTGTGGGAGATGGGAAGGATAAGAAGGATGACCAGAAGTAACATCCTAAGAAGTTGGTTAATGAAGCAAAGAAATGCTCATCATGTAATTCGGAACTTCAAGGTAAGTCTTCCCAATTGAACGATCAGACAAGATGATGGATGTAAATCTTCAAAATAACTGAATTATATCTTGATAAAGCATCTGCTAAACATGTTATGAATCATTGTCAGTAGCACGTCAACCTAAGTTCCTAATTTGGAACTTGATCTTAGTTATTTTCATACGAACTACATGGTTAACGATTTGAAAACATAAATCATCACAACAACATGTTATTGAAAAATGCTCGCACAGTACAATTACACACAACCTTTGATCGACAATAACTTCAACTAGGAACAATATGTTTCCATAGGACCGAAAGCAGAAGATAGATATCACTCTGTGTTAATCCTAATCCTCCCATTTATCAGGAACAATTATTAAGTCAATTTCGAAAGAATTTTCTCAAAATTGTCTGGAAAGTTCCAAATTTGAACAAAAAACAACTGATTATGAGATTATATCCATAGAAGGAAAAGGTCAGAGATTAGGAACTTTCAGAAATTGATAGGTCAGAGTAACTGAGACCAGGGGCGTGAGATGATGGCACTGAGGGTTTGAAGAGAGAGGCATTTCATAGAAAGAGAGGATTGGAACCTAACTTCGTTTGAAATGAGATTTGCAAGCTGAGTCCAATATTTTTATGAGTTCTCTTGTTATTTATATAATCGAATAATCAATAATCGAAATAATCATCACACCTTATTTTATACATGCCTTTTTATGGCCACTTTACCATGAACAAACGAACTACCTGAAAGAATTGCACTGAAAAAATCGTAGACTTATTACAATACTATAGTTATTGACGTAAAATTTCACATAAATCTCATTACAAACCTAATTTGACTCACAGGAACATCAATTTCCCATTCAACTGTTACTTGATTAACAGTAGCAATAACCTTATTAAGCTATTATGTAACATCGAAAGAGCTGGAATCCCATCTGAGCAGAGCTGAAATCCGATTGAAATAAGTAAAGATGTAAATAATATTACAATTTTTACAGTATTTTTTATTTAAAGTCACATTATTCTTGCTCCAAATGGCTATTCACATTTCAGAACTATATTATATGACGGAGAACGTTTTTAAGATATCAGTAAAGTGGGACAAGAAACCATCTGATCTGACTGAGAGTCAAAATTTGCAAGGCATAGATGATAGCAATTATTACTATGTCAAACATTTCTATTTATTAATTAACAACAAGCCACTTTCTCTGTGCATTGTCATCAGGTGATAACAAAGCTGTTCTGAAGCTCATGGATGAGACTTTGGGACTAGATCTGCTTTGAAATTCTATGCAGGTTAGTGTGGGTGCTGAGATGCACCCCACACAAATCATTCCCAAGAAAAGAATTTTCATACTTATCAAGCAATTATTTTAATTGATATCCCTGTGTAACCTCCGCATCTAAAACGTTGTAGAGGGGCTCTATTAAGTATAATTTGATGTAAAGTGGGTTTGAGATGCACCCACATTTTTGCGCTAAATTATTGAACGCCTGCTTGTTGATGCTTAACACAATTATATATTAAAACAAAGTGCCGAGTTATCACGTAACATGAAATTATACATGACGTCAATACAAGCGCAGCTCCATTTGTCTCACTCCAAAAATGGAATTGAAAAACAGCAAAAATGCAGATAAACGAGACATGTGGATATAACACAACTTTGAAGCAACATTTTGCAGTTATACTTATACTTTATAGTGTCCAAAAATCGTCTGCCTTCACATCCAGTGGGGTGTCTGGTTGATCAATATCAAAATAAAAGGCTATACAAAATTGTCATGTTATTGGTGTAGTCATGCCAAATTAGTAACCAGGTTACAATAGTTCTAGTTGTTATCAAAAGCTTTAAACCACTATGCATTAAGCTATGGGATTCTTGAGCGTGTGCTTACATTGGAAGAAAAATACACGTCAGCAGTGATGTTCGTTAGCAGTGATGTTCGTTAGCTGCAGTCGCCCCAAAGCAATGATGTGATAAATCTATGAAGTAGACCAAAGTGGCTCTTGTTTGTGAGAGGTGTATCAACTACCCGCCGAAGCAGTGGGTTAAGAGTCCCCCCTGGGATCATTTCGTTGATTTAATTAGTTTAAAATGCTTTATATAAGAAGGAAGAATGACGATAAGTACATTCTTCTTTGACATACATTTCATTACAAAATTTAGCTTCTAATCCAGAATAGATTACAAGGAACGATAAATTTCAGATACTGAATAATCCTAAAACAAGGCACTGAACAAAGATTTTTCCCATCGTATTCAGCAAAACTGAAAGGCATAAATAATGATTAATGGCAATTTAAGCAACGTTGGCACTGACTAAACTCTGGACATCTATTTAATACAGATGAGAATAAAAGACAAGAGCGTGTGTGAAAACTGGCCACGGGCCTAAATATTACATATCAATCAATTACAATTCATTAACATTACCAATATTAAAAACTATCGAAAATATTCAAGAAAGTATTCTCTAGCCAAAGGGCTCAATATTTAAATCTAAATCTTCAATATTGTCTGGTTTATATCGCAACTTGGGCCCTCTGTCCCCCCTTATCGAAATAACCGTTGTCTTTAATACCTCAAAGCGCAAGCTTTGAGGTATTAAAGACAACGAGTAACTGAGTCTGAATAACGCTGACCCGTTGGAGATTCCATCTTTTGTGCAAGCTTTTTAATCAAGCGTTGCGCTTTGACTCCCATGCCTCCTGTTGTGGAGAAAACTAAAGGTGTAAAGGTAGCTTTTTCCACTTCTAGGACCCTTGCATTATATGCTCTTTTCTTCTCAGTCTCGTGGGCCAAATACATCATAGGAATTGGTTTAGCGGCGTTGGTTGGAGCAGGAGCGTGAAACACTCTTACATCAAAAAATGCTCTTTCCAACGCATTCCAAACTGATCTTGCTGATATATCTAGTCGGGCTTGATCTCCAGCAAAACATTTATTCCATATTCGAACACTGCAATATTACGACAAAACAAACAGAGTCCTCAGTCTTATGTAAAGGAAAGAAAAAAATTTTTTTAAGAAAGAAAAAATTTTTATTTACCACAAAACAATCAATTCATAATGTTATATTCATAAATAAATTCAAATTTCAATTTCAAACACATATACAGTACGCCGCGCACACAGCCACAATTTTCAATTGTTCAGAAATTCGTAGGTCAGCTGTAGGCGCCGCGCACAGGATTTATTTAATTGTTATCTTACAATTACATGTCGCATTTCTTAATTACTAGAGCCAAAATTTCAGAAGCAAAATAATTTAAAAAATATTTCTGTCGTTCACGCAGTACAGGCCGCGAGCACTGCGATCTAATTAATATAATAATGGAGAGATTCCAAAAACCGCGCGCTCGTTATTTGTGATTAAATTGAGTGCGCGCCTCTGTGAACAGCAGTACCGCTCAAGCATGAAGTACTAGGCGGTACGCAGTTCTGCGTGAGGCGTAGACATTTGTAGCACACGTTTCATTCAACTAATCAATTATGTGACATGTAATTATATTAAAGCTAAAAGAATATTAATTTTAGTAATAATTGACGTAAGCATATGTGTTTAAATAACATCTATAATCTAGCGAGTTACTAATACTATTTGTTTGTATTATTGATTATATATGTTTACACTAGCCTATATTATGATGGAGATATACATTATATAATTGCTCCAATATTCAACACTGCTAAACAACAAATACCTACTGCATGAAGCAGTCGCCAAAACAAAGCTCAAAGCTAATGTAACTTCGTACTTCGTTTTGGAGACTGTACAATGCCAATAAATAATTAGTGTTTCAATCGTGTATTCGATGGGCAAGCACTCGCCACTCGAGGCCGAGACAAACGGCACCGGCTCCGCCCTGCAACCATGAAGTAATGTAAGCTGTAAGGCGGGGCGGTGGTGTGCGCCGTTTATACGGCCCACAGCACGAGACATTTTGAGCTCCAAGACTTAAGACTATAAAAGTCCCGAATTAAACGTAGCGACTTACCATCGTCAGCCGTCAAAAATGTATGTACAATGTAGTAGGACTAAAACATAAAAATAAAGTTGAAAGTCAATATTTGAGGGAGACAGAGGGGCGAGAAAGAACTTTGTCAATGTAGAAAGTTTAGATTTGAAATTGGACCCGCAAGGCCAAGGTGATTTTTAAAATATTGAGTTTTTGAAGGGTTGTTTTTATATTATAGGGTCATTGTGACATTTTTTGTATACTGTTTGAAAAATTTAACAAAAATATTTGTCCAACAAATGCGAATATGCAATCTATGCAACCAATATTGAATATTTTATTCAATATGACCATTATTCAATAAAAATTCAATATTCTATGCCAACCATGGATAAGTATTTTTCAGTAAAGACGGTTAACCACTGTAGTGTGGTTGGTTTTATCCGATTATTTTAGATTTTTATGGAGGTTGTACCATTGTAAAACTTACATTGTGACAGTATAGATGGCGAAATATTTTTGAAAATGGTCCTAACACAGCTTTGATAGTAACAATAACATTGGGTGAATAGATTGGGTGAACAAACTATGAAGCAGGCAATTATATGTGCTCATCCATCATTCTGCATAATATGTAAGCACAGTAGTTTAATTGCTGATTCATACTAAATGGTGACTCGATAGTAGTCATGTGAGGGAGATCACGTGACAACACCTTCTCATAATTATAGCCCTCAGGATCGCATTGCAGGTTACGTTCACCGTAATGTGTATTGAGGTATGTGCTGTACTTGGCGGGCTATGTTTCAATATATAATATCAGAGATTAGTATATACATTCTACTCTGAGTCATTGAGTAAATATTCCTGTTATGTTGGAACACACAGGGGAATACCAAAATATTAAACTATTAAAACATAACCCTGAGCAAAATTAATTGTAGTTGTAGTTGTACACCTAATATGATCAATAAAACTAACTTATAGTTTATTTTTACGGACATAAGTTAATAGTTGCAGATGCTACAAGTTAAACCCTAGCGTTTATTTTAATTTCCGCTCAAAATTATGCCGGCCGTTCACATTATGTCCGGTGGCGGTACGGGTAAAATAACGTCCGATGAGCTATGTTTTAAAAATAACCTTTAGAACTAAAAGCAAGTGTAAAGTGTGAAGTGACCGTTGATAAGTTCAACATGGTACGCTTCTTACAATTATTACTCTTAACTTTACTGTTAGTAATATAGTATGTAACAAACATACAGTTAAAAGTTACACAGTATTAGTATTACTCCGATGTACGCAGAGTTTGGGATGAACAAACATACAGTTAAAAGTTACACAGTATTAGTATTACTATTAATCCGATGTACGCGGAGTTTGTGAGAAAGGAAAAAGCCACGGTAAATCGGGGTTTTGATTGTTTACATTATGTATGTTTTCAGTTATGCACTAACGCTATAACGCTAACGCTGACGTTGACGCTAACGATAACGCTAACGATAGCGTTTAGCTTTAGCGTCAGCGTCAGTGTTAGCGTCAGCATAAGCGTCAGCGTAAGCGTTAGCGTTAACGTTAGCGTCAGCATCAACGTTAGCTTCAACGTTATCGTCAGCGTCAGTGTTAACGTTAGCGTCAGCGCCAATGCTAGCGTCAACGTCAGCGCCAATGTTAGCGTCAACGTTAGTGTCAACGTTAGCGTCAGCGTTAGCGTCAGCGTTAGCGTTAGTGTTAACGTTAGCGTTAGCGTTAACGTTAACGTTAACGTTAGCGTTAGCATTAGCGTTAGCGTCAGCATCAACGTTAGCGTCAACGTTAATGTTAGTGTCAGCCTTAACGTTAGCGTCAGCGTCAGTGTCAACGTAAGCGTTATCGTTAGCGTTAGCGTCAGCGTCAGCGTTAACGTTTAGCGTTAGCGTTAACGTTTAGCGTTAATGTCAGCGTTAGCGTTAGCGTAAGCGTCAGCGTTAGCGCGAGCTAACGTTAACGCTAAACGCTAACGTTAACGCTAACGCTGGCGCTAACGATAACGTTGACGCTAACGTTGATGCTGACGCTAACGTTAACGCTGACGCTAACGCTAACGCTAACGCTAACGCTAACGCTAACGCTAATGCTGACGCTAACGCTGGCGCTAACGATAACGTTGACGCTAACGTTGATGCTGACGCTAACGTTAACGCTGACGCTAACGCTAATGCTGACGCTAACGGTGACGCTAACGTTGATGCTGACGCTAACGTTAACGCCAACCCTAACGCTGACGCTAACGCTGACACTAACGCTGACGCTAACGCTGACACTAACGCTGACGCTAACGCTGACGCTAATGCTGACGATAACGCTTCAGCGTTAGCGTCAACGTTAGCGTCAGCATTAGCGTCAGCGTTAGCGTCAGCGTTAGCGTCAGCGTTAACTTCAGCGTTAGCGTGACCGTTAGCGTCAGCGTTAGCGTCAGCGTTAGTGTCAGCGTTAGTGTCACCGTTAGCGTCAGTGTTAGCGTCAGCGTTAGGGTTGGCGTTAACGTTAGCGTCAGCATCAACGTTAGCGTCAACGTTAGCGTCAGCATTAGCGTTAGCTTTAGCGTCAGCGTTAACGTTAGCGTTAACGTTAGCGTCAGCATCAACGTTAGCGTCAACGTTATCGTTAGCGCCAGCGTTAGCGTCAGCATTAGCGTTAGCGTTAGCGTCAGCGTTAACGTTAGCGTTAACGTTAGCGTTAACGTTAGCGTCAGCATCAACGTTAGCGTCAACGTTATCGTTAGCGCCAGCGTTAGCGTTAGCGTTAACGTTAGCGTTTAGCGTTAACGTTAGCTCGCGCTAACGCTGACGCTTACGCTAACGCTAACGCTAACGCTGACATTAACGCTAAACGCTAACGCTAACGCTAACGCTGACATTAACGCTAAACGTTAACGCTAACGCTTACGCTGACGCTTATGCTGACACTGACGCTAAAGCTAAACGCTATCGTTAGCGTCAACGTCAGCGTTAGCGTTATAGCGTTAGTGCATAACTGAAAACATACATAATGTAAACAATCAAAACCCCGATTTACCGTGGCTTTTTCCTTTCTCACAAACTCCGCGTACATCGGATTAATAGTAATACTAATACTGTGTAACTTTTAACTGTATGTTTGTTCATCCCAAACTCCGCGTACATCGGAGTAATACTAATACTGTGTAACTTTTAACTGTATGTTTGTTTCTCCCAAACTCCGCGTACATCGGAGTAATACTAATACTGTGTAACTTTTAACTGTATGTTTGTTACATACTATATTACTAACAGTAAAGTTAAGAGTAATAATTGTAAGAAGCGTACCATGTTGAACTTATCAACGGTCACTTCACACTTTACACTTGCTTTTAGTTCTAAAGGTTATTTTTAAAACATAGCTCATCGGACGTTATTTTACCCGTACCGCCACCGGACATAATAACGGCCGGCATAATTTTGAGCGGAAATTAAAATAAACGCTAGGGTTTAACTTGTAGCATCTGCAACTATTAACTTATGTCCGTAAAAATAAACTATAAGTTAGTTTTATTGATCATATTAGGTGTACAACTACAACTACAATTAATTTTGCTCAGGGTTATGTTTTAATAGTTTAATATTTTGGTATTCCCCTGTGTGTTCCAACATAACAGGAATATTTACTCAATGACTCAGAGTAGAATGTATATACTAATCTCTGATTATATTATATATTGAAACATAGCCCGCCAAGTACAGCACATACCTCAATACTTGATACATGTTTCGTATCCAAATATCAGAGATATTATGGATACACCATGAAGGAACACCTCTGCGCGGCGTAAGTAAATTTACAAGTTCGCGCGAAAAATTGTCTTATTTTCCTGGCGCTTTGTTCTCGCGCCGGGAGTGAATCACTAATTAGCTAAATACTTAACTAGCATAAACTACAATCTAGATCTACAATACGAAGTAAGAGTTACCACGTTACTCTTTTATTTCTCCGTTAAGCCTACAATTCTAATAACTAACAATGTAGTAATAGTAGAGGCTCTTACGGGCATTGTCTGCTCGATACGCTAGGGACCCCAGATACACCTTACTAGACGTATTTTTGACCGTAGAATCGATTGAAAGTGGTTTTAAAATGATTGGACTGATTGTTCTGGGGTAAAATTGCAAAAAACCGATTTTTGGGCCAAAAATAGGCCAAAAAACCATGTTTTTTGATATTTTGAGCAAGTTAATTTTGTTGGTATGTCGGCAAAACTTGCATGAAGATAGCTAAAAGACAGCCGCACAAGATTGTGTAAAAATAAAACAAATCCCTCTATTTGTTCTGAGGTAAAAATCCAAAAAAGTGGTAAAAATTTTGACTTTTTTGCGCGCAATTTATTTTTGGTACTTATATGCTATATTTTGAAAATTTTTAAACTTATATCTTGTAATAACAATTAATTAAAGTATATTTAATATAATTTTGACCAAAAAATTCATGTTTAATGGAACCAAAATTTTAGGTGCGCCGCGCATATTTTCGAATATTTACACCGTGGTATGAAAATCGAGCGCTAAAGCAAATAATGTCATATTTTCACAATAATACCTAGGTTGTTTTTCAGTATTATTGTCGCATTTCGAAACTCCTTTTCACCCTATTTGGTTATCTTTTTGATGTGTAATTTGATTACTAACTATGTTTTCATGTATTCTCTTTGATGTGGAGTACCCATTCATACTATTTCCTATCGTTTTTATCATATGCTTTTTCCTCTAGAGTCGGCTCTATTTGTGACATACCTCTTATCTTCTACATAGTTTATCGTGGTTTGTTGATACTGAATTGGTTTAATTGATACTATACGATTACTTTGTTAGAAATGTATAGTAAGATGTGACGGAATAAGAGAAACTAAAATATTTAAATGGGTTGTGGCCATTTCAAAATATTCGATGAGGTTATATTTTTTAAATTGAAGGTCTTTCACCAAATATGACTTGAATAGTTTTTCGACAAAGTTTTTAGAAGAGCTTTAATGATTTCAAAGAATTAGCAAATTGATTGTACATCTTAGAAGCTACTACAGAGAGGCTACCTACACCAAACATAAATCCGAACATATCTTGCAGATAAGTTGGAGCCAATCCTAGTATGGATTTGTGAGATTTTGTAGTGAGATTTTGAATTCAATCCTCTTCTCTATATCCATTATCCAACCAGTAAAGATTGATCAGTTCATCCTCAAGATGGTAATGTTTATATTGCCTATCAACAGCTTTGGCTACGGCATTTTGTAGTAACTGGACCTGATAGGATACAAGGATACAAGGATACAAGGATACATTTATTGAGTTCCAAAAGTGGTAATCCTGAAATAAACATTGACATCATTGGCAAGTAATGGCCTCAAAAATTATGGTCCCTTCAAGATCAAAATCAATAATAATGTTTAAATTTAGATAAGTAGGAATAATAATTTTAGCCAGTCTCGCCTCTAGTTATACTCTCTACAAGCTGACTATCTTATTGTTCCTAATACTATGAAACTTGTCAGGCTCTGTAGTTCGTTTCAGTCTCAGTTCTTCTACAAGCTTTTTATAAGCTTTTCATTCCGTGGCAGTCCTATCAGGGCAGATGTAAACTGAGCTGTTCCCCTCCTTTGAGCGTAGTGTACTGGTGTTTCTGATCTCTGGTGTTGCATGGTCAGAACTGCTCAATGTGAACTTTACTGGTCTGGATACATTTTCTTTCGGAGCTCCAATACAGCAGCAGTCCCTGACTAAAGGCTTCTCACTAATTTCATTCAGAACCTCCTCAACATTAACAACTATAAACAACTATTAACAACTATTAACAACTATAATATAAAAAGAAATCTATTAAATAATATTAATGATTAAATAACATTTACGTTCTGTCACCATGATTTGACCCTGGTGCAGTCCTCAGTTAATATACTTAACTGGATTACGCGAACTTTATATCCGACTGTAATCTTGCTTTTAATCGCTGTGTGATGATACGCGCGCAATTTTTGGCGCATTATGAGTCAGGTCATGGATGCATTATGTATTTATTTTGATAATTCTAAATTTGCGTGTTTTAGATACATTTTGTGTGTTTAGATGGAGGTGGTGTTAGTGAGTCTGGGAGTAGAACTATTACTTGTAATACGTATACCCCCAGAACTTGTACCACTTAACCATGCTTTTAGTATTTATACAATATGGACTACAACTTTTACCCTACAAATGCCTCATGATAATAATGTCGTATATTTTTAATTCTCTTTGCTGTATTGTATAATGTACTATTTGTAAAAGTTTCAAATCAAATCAAATCAAATCATTACTCAGCAGTTGCTCGTTCTCTGATTCTGATAGACCATAAATGATTACGTTCTTGCTTCACTCAATCTGGTTTTCTACTTTTTTAACTGCAGCGTGGATCTTCTTCGGGGCGAAAGCAGGATTGATGCTTTTTCTAACGACTGAAGAGTAGCTTTTCATCTCCGTTTGCACGGTATTCTGCATTGATTTGAGCTGTTTGTTGCTTCTTTCAATAGCCTTATTCTGAAGATCGATGATAATACTCTGATCTGAAATCTTCTCACTTTTCAACTTGTCAATTTCTTCTGCAAGAGGTATCGCCTTCCTTAGCCAGGTGATACTGAACTGGTCCAATATACAACAAACAGTTTCCAAGCATTCGCATGGTTTCTCTTTCGTTACTGATCTCTTGTTCATCAAATTGCAAGATTGAATTTCCTCGTACATTTTCTTGTTGATTTCACTACAAATCTCATCTAAAACACTCCCTGGCTTTTAATAGTAGGCACAAACATTACTAATGTTTTATGAGCGATTTCCACACCATCTCATTGAGCAATACTATATTAGACCGAAAGACTTTAATTTGAGTTTTAGAATTATTTATATTAGTTTTAGAATCATGTACATTAGCTGCAGATAGTATTTAAACGGGTGGGCAACAATTGACCCCCCGACAATTGACCCCCCGACAATTTTCCCCCGACAATTGACCCCCCAACAATTATCCCCCCGACAATTGACCCCCGACAATTAGCCCCCCGACAATATAATTTAATACAATTAACCCTAACCCTAACCCTTATCCTAACCCTAACCCTAACCCTAACCCTAACCCTAACCCTAACCCTAACCCTAACCCTAACCCTAACCCTAACCCTAACCCTAACCCTAACCTTAACCCTAACCCTAACCTTAACCCTAACCCTAACCCTAACCCTAACCCTAACCCTAACCCTAACCCTAACCCTTTACTGACCCTGACCCTTTACTGACCCTGACCCTTTACTGACCCTGACCCTTTACTGACCCTGACCCTTTACTGACCCTGACCCTGACCCTGACCCTTTACTGACCCTGACCCTGACCCTGACCCTGACCCTGACCCTGACCCTGACCCTGACCCTGACCCTGACCCTGACCCTGACCCTGACCCTGACCCTGACCCTGACCCTGACCCTGACCCTGACCCTGACCCTGACCCTGACCCTGACCCTGACCCTGACCCTGACCCTGAGGCCTGACCCTGACCCTGACCCTGACCCTGACCCTGACCCTGACCCTGACCCTGACCCTGACCCTGACCCTGACCCTGACCCTGACCCTGACCCTGACCCTGACCCTGACCCTGACCCTGAGGCCTGACCTTGAGGCCTGACCCTGAGGCCTGACCCTGAGGCCTGACCCTGAGGCCTGACCCTGAGGCCTGACCCTGAGGCCTGAGGCCTGACCCTGACCCTGACCCTGACCCTAACCCTAACCCTAACCCTAACCCTAACCCTAACCCTAACCCTAACCCTTTACTGACCCTGACCCTTTACTGACCCTGACCCTTTACTGACCCTGACCCTTTACTGACCCTGACCCTTTACTGACCCTGACCCTGACCCTGACCCTGACCCTGACCCTGACCCTGACCCTGACCCTGACCCTGACCCTGACCCTGACCCTGACCCTGAGGCCTGACCCTGACCCTGACCCTGACCCTGACCCTGACCCTGACCCTGACCCTGACCCTGACCCTGACCCTGACCCTGACCCTGACCCTGACCCTGACCC